GAGCAGTATCTTAGCCAGCACATAAATCATTTAACTTGTGTAGTGCAGATATACTTACTCACTTACTTACTTACGCCTGTTACCCCTCGTCGAGGAGCATAGGTCGCCCACCAGCATTCTCCATCCAACTCTGTCCTGAGCCTTCCTTTCCAGTTCTTTCCACTTGTTATTCATCCTTTTCATATCTGCTTCTATTTCCCGGCGTAATGTGTTCTTTGCCCTTTTTTTAGCGAGTTGGCTTTTCTACGGGATGAGGTCGATAACCCCATGCCCAACCCTCCTCCTTTACCCGGGCTTGGGACCGGCAATAACTCTAGAAGAGCTACAAGCGGAGTTGCATATATACTTGGTGCATTTTTATACCAATCTTTGTGTGTTTCAATAAGAATAACAGTATGATGTAGAAAAATCACAACAAATTACAAGACATGAAATTTTCTTTGTTACGTAGTTACTTACGCTTGTTACTATTCATGGAGGAGCATAGGCCGCTCACTAGCATTCTCCATCTAAATGTTTTGTAATGATATGGTATTATTAATTGGTTTGCAAAAAATTGATTCGAAACACACCAAGCTAGTTAGTTGTCTGTTAAATAATGTTATCGAACGTTTGTTCAATCAAGAGTTAAATATTCAGAATTGATTGATTTAGAGTGTAGAGAAGAAATTCATATTTGTCTAATCCTCTAGTGTTATGTAAATCCGATGGAACAAGTATTGCAGTCACTGGTCTAACTGACTTGACTGATCTTATTCAATCATCATAAAGGACTAAACAGATACGTCACTCGTTGATCACTAACCAGTGATCAGTGAACTATAAATGATTCAGCACTAGAGAATACTAGCTACAAGACAAATAAGTCAGTGGCAACATCTGAGACTGAGAAACTAGGTGATCGATGTTAGAAACCACCAAGAATCGTCAGTTTTTTTAAGACTTCAAACACACCTTGATGACATGTCAACAAGCACAAGACTAAAGTTCAGGATTTCCTGTCAACTATCTTCAACCGGCTAATGTATTAAACTATTCTTACAATATATTCCCTCTCTTTCTGTCTCATTGTGTTGTTAGTACGCAATGTTTTAGACTCAGTCTTGTCACCTATTATTTCAAACTTGAACGTCGAACAGTATCTATGCTTGTCCCATAATAAATTTAAACATAACCAGTTTCTTACTGAAATTATTATGTTTATGAATAAATAAATCATATAATCTTCAAAACAAAAGTTTTCATAGATAATCTAATTCATATCACATAGACAGATATCTCGCCCCAAATACCTTGATACGGCCGAGAGTGGGGAGAGTCCACTCTCCCTCTCAAAATGCTCTCATATGGCCACGCATATATAGCTTCTGTCAGGGAAGTCCTACTCACTGCCTTCTCGTGGCATTACTGTTGTTTACGAAATTGAGAGGACGAAAACAAATGTCCGGCGCTTCAACCGCGTTGGTGGACACAGATAGTCCACTTAGGGGAGTTGGAAAACCCTCATTCCAAACCAATGGTGCACATAGGCTCCAGTACCGTGAGGGAACAAATGGCGTATGAACCAATCGTTGGTCACCGGCTACCATGAGACTGTATCTCATAATGTTGGCTCACCGCCTTGTGGACCAGTCCTTTAGGTCGAAGGCTCGGGAGTGATCCCCTAAGAATACCAGTTTCGGCACACTAACAGTACCCCAGCCTTCACACAAATCGTATGATCTATGTTGTTTCCATACCAATCATTCTTCGTTCTCTTTCCATTATCTTTGATCTTCTTAACCTTCTGCCTCCAGGTATTTCATTTTCGATTGATGATACATACTACTTATATCTGTCAACATCACTAGCACACACTACAATCCAATTGACTTATTATTACTATTTTTATTGTTAAAAAAGTAGGCTTCATAGGGAATACAAAAGAACCAAACAAACAAAACAAAGTTTACTCTTCAGTTTAAATAAAACATTAAATATATTCAGTTTAACCTTATCCAAATTGTCTAAAATGACACTAATTATAATCCTTCCAATTATCATAGTCATCGTTGCCAGAATTCATAATGATTCTCATTGTTCATCTATTTACATCATTTCAATTCAATGTTGTTCACTTCAATCCTCTCCCATAAATCATCCTTAAACATAGTCAACAATTTAATGTTTCTTGTCATTTGTTTTACTTTAATTAAATGTAAAGAGAGAAATGATATGATGATTTAGATACTTAGGAACATGCGATTGAAATATATTGTCAGCATATAGTAAACATTTATCATTGCTTTCTTGAAAACAGTTTTTCAGCCGCTTTTCTAATTGATTCTGTGGTAAATGCTACTTATGTCTATATAAGTAGTAAATGACATCAACCAGAAATGGAATGCTTGGAAACAAAAGGTTAAGAAGATCGAATAGAAGAGAACGATAACAGAGAGTGATTGGTATGGAAAGTATAGAACAATAAGATCTGAGACAATTGATGGACATTTTACAAGTGAAGTATTTACTGAGAAAGGATTTTGTGGAGATTTAGTATTTTCATAGTTGAAAACGTAAGTCAATTGAAGCTAGACTACCAAGGAAAAACTGGAAGCACTGAACGGCTGTTTCTTCCTACTATGGGACTTCTGAGCAGTGCGCATCCACGACGTCGCCTCGTGAAACCGGAACTCAGGACCTACCAGTCTCGCGCCAGAGCACGTAACCGATAGACCACTGAGCCAGAATCCGATGGAGTCCCACAGTAGGACGAAACGACCGTACAATGCTTCCAGGTTTTCCTTGGTGATCTAGCTTCAATTGGCTCACGCTTTCAACTATGAAGTATTTACTGTATGCTTCTCAGATTTTACTAAATAGTGCTGTGATTTTATACTAGAACACATTCAATTGTTCCCACTGGCATTCTCGTTCACTAGGGGTTACATTAAATAGCTGAGTGTATTAAAAAAAACATTAATATGTTACAAGTCAAGATCCTCTTACATCTAACATAATAACTGAAGGGCATCAAAGATTATTACACTATGTACATAAAGTATGATCGAAATTACCCTATTCATTAGATTGGGGATGAAACACTATGGTATAAATTCAGTTGATGTAAAGTACTTTTTTAAGCTAATATAATATCCGGATACGACAAGATTATTGTTACATTGAATTGTTTCGAAGTGTTCAAGTGATAGGTGTTTGGATGTCCGTTTATATAATGAGCAGAATTATAAGAAGGGGTTTTGTGGAGATTTCAGTATTTTCATAGTTAAAAGCATGAGTCCTGGGTTCAAATCTCGCGAGGCGAGGTCGTGGATTTGCACTGCTGAAGAGTCCCATAATAGGACGAAAAGGCTGTCCAGTTCTTCCAGGTTTTCCATAGTGCTCTAGCTTCAATTGACTCACGCTTTCAATTATGAAAATGAGTAGAATGTTGACTAACGGTTGATGCATAATTACATGTGGTAATTTACTGACGATGGGTACTGATGACAGAGTGATTCACTTAAGCCTACATTTCAACTATTACCAGGAAACAAAATCATGATCGAATGGATTATTTTACTGTAAAATAGCATGCTTTAAAAAAAACAAGATTCATGGATTTGTGAAACATTTGGTTTTCAATTTTCATTATGTGAGTGCTACATAATTTTCCCTCAACATTTCATTCCCAGATATATCTTTCACTTTATTTGGTTAATCGTCCGGCAGTTCGGGATGCGCTACAGTGATATGTTCATGAATGATATCTGAAATAAATCGCCAATGAAAATTATACTGTTTTATGCATCAATAACCCATTCAATGAACAGAAAACTGCTCAAAAATGCCGGATGCTTGACATTCATTGAACTTCAAAAAAAAACTACCTAAACTCGTACTTACATACCATTCAACAAATAAATATTTAAAAGATCTACGTTTAGTAGATCACTCACTTACCAATCATAATAAAATCTAACTAGCAAGTGAATAAAACAACACTAACGTGATAAGCTAATCAGAAACCAAATAAACAAGTTCCTATTTTTACTCTCCAAACTCGAAAACTAATACCAGTCATCACTTAATACGTGAAAATTTTTCAGAAGCCTATCTTTTGTGCTTAAAATAATTAGAACTGATAACAAAACATCCTTTAACAGAAAGGGGTTTTGTGGAGATTTTAGTAATTTTATATATTTGAGATCATGAGTCAACTGAAGCTAGATCGCCATGGAAAACCTGGAAGCACTAGACGGCGGGATCGTGGATGCGCACTCCTGAGGAGTCTCACAATAGAACAAAAATGGCCGTCAAGTGTTTCCAGGTTTTCCATGGTAGTCTAGCTTCAATTGACTCATGATCTTAGCTATATAAAAATAGATATTTATTGTCCCACGAGACAATGAACATAAAATAGTGTAAAGGTAAACCTATGAAAAACATTCAGTTCTGATTCAAATTCAATGTTTTTTTGTTTAAATTAATCCTTTAAATAAATCATATAATTACTGGCTTTTGAACCTTCCTTTCTAGTTCCATCCAATTTTTATTCATTCTTCTCATGTCTGTCTCCATTTCTCGGTATAATGTGTTCTTTCGTCTTCCTCTTCTCCTTTGACCTTCAGGATTCCATGTGAGGCCTTGTCTTGTGACGCAGTTGGTTGATTTCCTCAATGTGTGTCCTATCCACTTCCAGCGCTTCTTCCTGATTTCTTCCTCCATTGGAATCTGGTTTGTTGTATCCCACTGTATCTTGTTTCTGATAGTGTCTGTCCAATGGATCCGTAGACAACTGTTAATAAAAGCCTGTATCTTCTAGAAGATGACTTTCGTAGTTCTCCACTTCTCCGCCCCATACAGTAGAACTGTCTTGACATTTGTATTGAAAATTCTGATCTTATATTTAACCTAATAACATTCATAATGAAATTCATAACAGGATGACAATCTATCTTTCTACGCGTCATCATATCATCGTTTTGATTTTCTCTTCATTCATCTTCTTTTTTTTCCAGAAATTTGACTGTTCTTTTGCTAATGGAGATGTGATTTATCGTCATGAAGGTAATCCACTTATAAATCATGATCATGTACAAGTGACCATCTTTTTCTTTCGTAATAATAATTCAGTTGTACAAACTGTTGATATAATGATCGATATAGAAGATCCACCAACAAATTTAATCAATAATTATGATATGAACAATGTTACAAATCCAATTATTCACAATGATAATAATAATACTAATACAATGAATGATAATGATAAAAAGCTTAACATGAAACAAGGTTATTTCATAGGTCCAATACCACAAAGTAGAATTGAAATATTAAAAGATTTGACAGTGAAAAATCTTCGAGCTACAAGTGAAAGTATCAGTTCAGATATATTGAGGATACGGTAAGAGTTATGTAGAAAAAATTGTACATTATTTCATTCACTGCTAATTGTTTTGTCCATGAATACATGCTGTTAAAAATGACAGTAGTAGTATAGTGTATTTTACTGTTGTCGACAGATATAAGTAATATGTATCATCAATCGAAAGTGGAATGCCTGGAGGTAGAAGGTTAAGAAGATTGAATAGAAGGGAACGATAACAGAGAGTGATTGGTATGGAAACGAAGGGACATCCAAATCTGAGACAATTGATGAATATTTTGTGAATGAATTATTTACTATATGATTTTCAGATTTCACCAAGGTATTCTATAATGTTGTATTAGAATTCATTTGGTTGTCCCCACGCTTGTGTATTCTCGTTTACTACAGTAGTAGTAAGTGAAGAATCACAAGTTTAAATCAAAGATCACAAACTAAGTTTTTTCTTAAGATAGATAATTCAGTTATTTAATATAAAATGTCATTTAGGCTTGGTTAGCGTTTACATATCTGGGCAGCAGCATCGATAAACACGGTGGATCTAATGCAGATGTGAGAGCGAGGATCGGCAAAGCAAGAGCATCATATTTACAATTGAAGAACATTTGAAACTCAAAACAATTGTCAATCGACACCAAGATCAGAATTTTAATAAAAATGTCAAGACAGTTCTACTATATGGGGCGGAGAAGTGGAGAACTACGAAAGTCATCTTCTAGAAGATACAGGCTTTTATTAACAGTTGTCTACGGATCCATTGAACAGACACTATCAGAAACAAGCTACAGTGGGATACAACAAACCAGATTCCAGTGGAGGAAGAAATCAGGAAGAAGCGCTGGAAGTGGATAGGACACACATTGAGGAAATCAACCAACTGCGTCACAAGACAAGGCCTCACATGGAATCCTGAAGGTCAAAGGAGAAGAGGAAGACGAAAGAACACATTATACCGAGAAATGGAGACAGACATGAGAAGAATGAATAAAAATTGGATGGAACTAAAAAAGAATGGTCAGGACAGAGTGGATTGGAGAATGCTGGTTAGTGACCTATGCTGCATTGGGTGTAACAGGCGTAAGTAAGTAAGTAAGTCATTTAGTCTTACTGGATTTAATAAATATAACTTCATCACTACTAGGAGATTTGAGAAATGTCCTATCAGTTATTGGTCAAATAATAATTGTGAAATTCATTTTAAGCAAAAATATTTACTCTGTAACAAGTAAACTACTCAAATACCTCGATTGCTCAATATAATCAAACAACCGTAAACAAACATTTGTTTACGAAGGATGAGTTGGGTTGGACATTTCAACTTGAATGGAAATTATCTGGAATATCAATCGACATATCCAATAGAGATCGAACCAACTTTTCGTTGACAAGCATGTTTCTTTTATATTACTAAGTTACAATCGAAAGGTTTGCAGTTCTAATCTCAAACGATTTGCTATGCAGCCTGATGACCATCAAATATCACCGTCATGGATACACATTGTAGACAAAAGAGATATTCTGTATTCCTTCTTTTTCAGTTTTTTATCAATCGATAACAATCTTTTGTGAAAATCATTGACAAATAATAATTTTTTTTCCTAAATATTTGTTATTTAGACACTCATTGAACGTTATCAATGTAACTTTTCAAGGATAATAAAGTTCATCAGTGGATACCATTATGATGTGTGGTACTTAAATCGACATAAGTAGTTTATATCGTGAGTCAGGAATAGAATGTCTGGCAGTAGAAGATCGAGAAGGGAAGGACGAAAACGGAAAGCTATCTGCATGAAAATGAAGGAACAATGAAACCTAAGACGATTAATTGACATTTGCAAAAGAAACAGTCAAGTTTGAGACGACTGATTGACATCCGGTTTTCGAGAAGAAATATTCTGTTTAACAAATAAACCAAGTCTAGAACCAAAACAGTTATCATATACAACTGACTTAAGTTTGATCATTGATATGATCATGAGTGTTTGTTGATTCAAAGTTTTTAATATGGACAGAAAGCTCCCTGCTTTTCTTGTACCTTCAAAGATTTCTTAGATGATATCAATCGGTGATGAAATCTCTCTTCATATTCAAAAATTAATTGATTTTAATGTCATTCGCAAGTATCTAACCTTTTTTTCTAAATAATATTTTCATTTATCTAGTTACAATTTAGACAAAGAAGAATGTCGTTTAGCCTATGTTAGTCCAGAATATTTAATAAATAGAGGATTATTGGCAAAAAATACTTCTGATTGGTCAATATTAGGACGTTTAGGTGGTACACAAACACCAAAACTTGGTATGCCATTAACTTCAGGCAGTGCTGTTGGTGGAGTACGTAGATGGCCATTATTTGGACAAATTGTACATTTTAATCGAACTATGGTTGATTATATTGATAGAGATTGTCAAGAAGCACTGTTACAAGGTTACAGGTAAGTGATAATTAAATTTATTTTAACAATTTAAACTATTGGATCTCCATTCAGTAGTCTAAGGTTTAGTCGCTTACTACAACATCTGAAGGTCTTTGACTCATTTAGTGGTTGAATTTAGGATGACAACTGTTGAAGGATCCAGTACTAAGACAAAACAGATGTACATTATATATTGGTAATGAACAGTTATCTAATAAAAGTCATTCTATGATGTAAATTATGAAATCCAATGATCTCTTCATACTTTCTATACAGTAACGGATTCATTTTATTCAATAGATTTATATTGATCTGTCACTGAAGCAAATTTAAAATGGTACCTTATCCGAAGAGTACGCTGGAACTTACAGATTATTTTCTTTCTTTTGTCGAATATACTTGATTAGATATGTTCAGGGTGAAAATTCAACCGATTGTTCCCTAAATTGACGTAACAAATTATCAGCTGATGACTTTTTCATTAAAACCAATCCGATGGATTACTTACTCACTTTCTGAATGAAAAATTGATAGATTTCAAAACATAGAACAGCTAGGCTGAACTTTCGTTAAAAAAAAACACGAATACATAATCAAATCGTTTCAAAAAGTAAACAGTTGAAATATAAGGTTGCTTTAGTTAATGAAAAAGATTGTTCAATTTTAAAACTCCTAAATCATGAAACGACTTCAGTTAGAAAATCAATAAAATGCAGGAAGCGATGAGCAGTTGTTCCGTCCTAATAAAGAACTATTCAGTAGTGCTCAGACACAGCTCCACAACCAAAGATTATACCCAAGACCTTAAAGTTTCACTGCAATCACTTAAACTTTAAATTTGTTAGTTAGGATCCAGTTTTTGAGATAACTAACTTCAATCAATTCTTGACGACGAAGAACTACTTTAAAATTTCATTAATAGATAAATGCCTCACACTTGACATAGTTGAAGACCATTGATCACAGCTGCTTACTAGAGTAGTCAAGGATGTAAACTATTAATTGAATTATCCCTACAAATCCTCTATAATGACATTTTTTAGCTACATAAAGCGTCCACTTTATACTGAGGTTTGTGTCTGGTGAGAAATATTACAAATGAGCACTTATTGTGAAAATTAAATCTATGTGGTTTTCTCCTCAATGTATTCTTAGAAAACTCTCAATATTAATAGAGAATAGGATAGGAGGCTTTTTTATGATATCCAAGTTTTTGTGAAATCTTTTAAGTGGCTGTGTATTATTCAAAATGAATGAGTTTGAAGCTTAATAAATGCGTATGCCGACATTCAGATGAGTTATTCTTTCGATTTACTTTTTACTTACGCCTGTTACCCCTCGTCGAGGAGCATAGGCCGCACACCAGCATTCTCCACCCAACCCTGTCCTGGGCAATCCTTTCCAGTTCTTTCCACTTGTTGTTCATCCTTTTCATATCTGCTTCTATTTCCTGGCGTAATGTGTTATTTGGCCTTCCTCTTTTCCGCCTCCCCTTCCGGATTCCAAGTTAGGGATTTAGTAGTGATGCACATTGGTGATTTCCTCAATGTATGTCCGATCCACTTCCAACATATTTTCCTAATTTCCTCTCCAGCTGGAAGCTGGTTTGTTCTTTCCCATAAAACGCTGTTGCTGATGGTATCCGGCCAGTGAATATTGAGTATTTTGCGTAGACAACTGTTTATAAATACTTGTACCTTCTTGACGATAGATGTAGTAGTTCTCCACGTTTCAGCTTCATGCAGTAGAACTATCTTGACATGAGTTATTCTTTCGGTGACACTATAATTTATGGATGACCTTTGAGCGACGGTAAAAGGACCTTGGGATTGTTCATTTACATACTACAGCTAAATAAGGGTTATAAACCAGTGTAAAGAATTATGATTAATATTTACAGTTGATAATTAAGGTTGGAATTGAACATCAAGTTTTCATCACAGACTGACATATGCTATAATGCCAAAACTCTATTTAGTCAAATGAATGAATTAATTTTGCGCCAAAATTCAAGCCCTGTTATTGTAAATCTGATTGCTTTATCCATAAATTATAGTCTTGGCATTCTTTCTGTACAACCACTGTTCTAATCAATCCATCTTTTTACATGTTCAATAGAAGATTAAGAACCTATGAGTTAAAATCACATTCTTTATCACGAGAGAAAGTATGAACAATGAATCATAACAGTTTTTCTTCACTAATCTCCTGAATGAAAATAGTAATGAGTGTATCACGATACATAAGGATGTACTAAAATCAAAAAATTATTATATACTTTACATCATAAAATCACGGTATTTAGAAAACCATTGGGAACTAGGAATTACTTGGCGTTTGCTCTGTCGTAAAATAGGATTTCTCACCAGTATGCATCCATATCTCTACTCGGGATCGAACTCAATACTTGTAGGTTTCGTGGCAAAAAATATAATGAACTAATTGAAGTTGGACGTGCAAACCACTAGATATCGTGTCAATGGTCTATACATTGAGCGATCTCTGGGAACCTGAAAGTTATGGGTTCGATCTACAGCTAGATTGTCGATGTGAGTTGATGATAAGCTCCATATTAGAAAGAAACAACTGTCTAGTAGTACCTGATTTCCAACGGTTGTCCAACTAAAGTCATTCTGTGGTCCAAACCATAAAATTGAATGACACCTAAAGATGCATATACAAAATGGGAACAATATTGTACGTTTAGCTGATCTATGATCAGAACAATTCATTTTGAACTAAATTTCAACTTGATATTCGAACTGATTTCAATTATTGTCTTTTAATCCTCTAAAACAACTAGAAAATCTATCTGAGATTCATTTCTGTACCATTTTTTTTCGATTAGCACAGTAGCCATTAAATTTTTTGAAGTGTTACAATCTGATTAGCTTGTCTCCTACGCGACTGCATGCATATGTACAGTAATTTACTATCGATCGTCACGTTTGATAGTATACATTTTCAGTTCATTGAAAACCCAATGGAAAAGCGAGAAGGAGATTGATTGATTGATTGATTGATTGATTGATTGATTGAGTGAGTGAGTGAGTGAGTGAGTGAGTGAGTGAGTGAGTGAGTGAGTGAGTGAGTGAGTGAGTGAGTGAGTGAGTGAGTGAGTGAGTGAGTGAGTGAGTGAGTGAGAGAAGATCCTATCATAAAAATCAAAATATAGTTGTAAATTTGACAAACTTTCCCAATAATACGTGAAAAACAAACCAGTGGAGACTTAATCATCATTCATGACCTACCAAAGTAAGATAAATGGAAAAAAGTATCTGATGGTTTCCGTAACAATGTCCGTCCAATATAGCTTCATACATAATTTTGGCTTAGCTGGTTAAACATGTTCTTCGTCTGGAAGATAATTTCATATCAGTTGATTTGTAACCTAACATAAATGATACTTACTTACCTATTTACTACATTATCCCTCGTGGAGGAGCATAGGCCGCCCACCAGCATACTCCATCGAACTTTATCCTGTTCAGTCCTTTCCATTTGTTTCAAGATGCTATTCAATCTTTTAATGTCTGCTTCTAATATATATATTGCGTAATAGTATGTTTAGTGTTGTATGGTTCCCGTAAAATCAGACCACCTTTATTTAGATAAACTGTTTAATTTTGTCTGTCATTTAATAAATTATTGATACGATTTTAAAAAAAGCAACTTCCTACCCCTATAATTAACCCCCTTACTAATCAACCTTAGAAATTATGTGTGGCGTAAAGAATAATTTCAGTTAAGGTATATTACATATAAATGTGTTTTCATTATATTCGGGATTAAAATGATAAACCGACCATATTAAGATATTAGCAAACCAATTCAGTAGATATTGTCTTTGACTATCAAAGAACATGAAGCTTGATTGTTGTAGAGACTTATGGTAACGAAAACCTTGAATTTAAAACATTAAAGGTAACAAATTGAAAAATACTAAGCTATTTAAATAGCCTTGAAGAGCCAAATCATTCTCAATAAGAATGTTAATGTTTTGCTTAAAAAACGATATTTATAACTATCAAGGTCTATCAAATAATTCCCATTATGTTAGTAATGATTTGAGTGATTGAACATAACAATTGTATATTACAACTATATTTTTCAAACATCTTGATTGTATACTCAGTCTTGAGCTTTACAGTTTGCCTGTGACTTAACAATACCATGTGACTACATTGCATTACATACGCCTGTTACCCCTCATAGAGAAGCATAGGCCACTCACCAGCATTCTCTATCCCACTCTGAATACATACGCATTTTATATATATATATACCATTTTAAGGTTACTGAGTGCTGTCGAATTAATCGCCAAGATTTGTATTAGTTCTGAAAATGAATGCCTCAGACATAAACTAAATAAAAGATACTATTGTTTAACTGGTTAGCGTTTTTTTAGCGGGTTAGTTTTCTATGGGATGGGGTCACTAACCCCATGCCCAACCCTACTCCTTAATCCGGGCTTGGGACCGGCAGTAGCCCCAGGAGGGGCTAAAGGCGTAGTTACCATGTGACTAGGTCAACTAAAATGAGTGAATAAGGAATGAAACTATAACTTAATAGTGGAAAATTAATTGCTTAAACAAGTAAGTTATCAATTCAGTGCTGCATGATTATATATCAATATTAAAAAAAACATTTCAATAATCTTATCCCTGATATTCAAAATCAGTGAATATTATGTTAAAGATTGAAATCACTGGTACTGGATTTGAGTCTTGATGTGATTACATAAACATTGAGCTACAAATACTTTTCATTAAAGAGTTTCAAGTAGGACTATTAACCATCATTCATCTATTTTGTGTATAGTTATATGTTCCGTTGAAAATATTTTGGTTTGGAATTTTCATATTCAGGTATGTACATTTGGATCGTGTAAACAATAACAACTTCATTAGGCTCGTAAATATTTCATACTGTCAATGTTTATGGAAACAATTAAGGCTTCTAACTGATTGTTTTTGTTTATCCGAAATATACAATAAATGAGGAATTATTTGAATGAAAATAACTTTTTATATATAGTTGAAATCATGAATCAATTGAAGCTAGATCATCATGGAAAACCTGGAAGCACTGGACGGCCGTTTTGTCCTATTATGGGACTCCTCAGCAGTGCGCATCCACGATCCCGCCCCGCAAGATTCGAACCCAGGACCTACCAGTTTCACTTTTGTTAACGACTGGATATTCTATGTTTTTTTCCGATATCCACAAATGGTTAGATTGTTTTTTTTTTAAAAACTTATTTTAAGTAACAATGTAAAAACGATTACCATTTGTATGGTGAAAACGGTTGTTTCATGCTTTTTCAAAGCCTTAACTTCAATGTAAACAGTCTATGTTTATAACTGGTTTTCATTCACTGAGTTAGTGCTCATCCTGCTGTTTAATGATGTAATTACGTACGATTTATTTACAATTATTACTGTGTTATTGAGATCACAAACCGATCTAAAATAGATGACCATTAAAAACCAAGAAGCCCTGTACGGTAGTTTGGTTCTAGAATGGGACTTATCAACAGTTTGTGTTCATGACCACAAAGCCTGAAATCAAATCCAGGACTTGCAATCTCGTATGTGAGTGTTTAGCTTGTGAATCAATGGACTGGAATCCAAAGGTGAACAAGTCTAACTTCAATCAATCCACAATATTGAACCACTATTTCTCATCTTCTTCACTGAGTAACTACTTTATACTCAACACCATTGAACTCTATTAGTCACAACTCACTAAAACTTCGGGAAGTGCATCTAGGAACCAACTGCTGGCAAGTACACGATTATGATCAGTATAGAACTTTATGAGGACTGTTGAATTTTCTCGAGGAATTTTTACACGGAAAACGAAAAATAGTCGTTCAATATTGTGGATTGATTGAAGTTAGACTTGTTCACCTTTGGATTCCAGTTCATTGGTCCACAAGCTAAACGTTCACGCACGAGATCGAAAGTCCTGGGCTCGATTTGCCACTTTGGGGTCATGAGCACGCACTGTTGATAAGTTTCATACTAAAATCAAACTGCCGGATAGTTCAGAAGGAAACGACAGTTCTTTGTTCAATATTTAATGTAAAATCTTAGAAAACGAAACTACAGACCTGAAAGCATCTAGAAATGATGCATCTACAATCTGAGATAAACATATAAAATATCTTATATGGTTGAGATCATGAGTCAAATGAAGCTAGACCACCGTGGAAAACCTGGAAGCACTGGAAGGCCGTTTCGTCCCACTGTGGGACTACTCAGCAGTGCGCATCCATCCACTATTCGAACCCAGGACTTACCAGTTTCGCGCGCGAGCACTTAACCGACAGACCACTGAGCTTGCATCCAGTGGTGTTAATTTTATATCAATCATCAATATTTTGCAGAATAACATCATTAATTACCTCGTCTAAGATTGTAATTTATCTCAATAGGAATCATTTCCCTTTTTTTATAAATAAACATGATATTTCACTCGTTAAAATATTTTTCACCGGTTTGTTTATTTGCTTATTTATTATTACTGTTTATAGGTATTTACATCGTAGAGGTAACAGTTACTCAACCGATTATATACCAATTCAAATAACAATATGGAATCGTATGAATGACGGTTCAAGAGGTCAACAAATAATTGAGAGTAAATTCCTTAAAGTAACAATTTCAAATGCACAAAATCTGAAATCACCTGTACTAAGAGCATTTCGACAAGTAAATTTATTTTTTATTTCAAAAAGAAAGTATATGTTGTGGTACTAGCATTTTTCAATGTTTTGTTCATCAGTTGAAATCTTCCCTATTGTGTGTTTATAAAAAACTGAAAACTCTTTCAGACTGAATAAGCGAAGATGGACAGTGGCTAGCAATGGAATACAGGACGCGCGTCACTTTGCCCTACTTGGGACTCATTAGCTAGATTTACCTGCATTTCAGAGTTGATTTTCTTTACTTATAATGCTTATGAATTAAGGCTATATCGAGGCAATACTCACAGTATGCACATATGCAAATAAGAGATTGATCAATTGCAGTCCTAAACATCAGTGGGAAGATTCAAACAAACAATTCCAAGTGAATTCATACTTCAGATTGAATTTAAATATGTTCTTGGTACGAATAAATTGGACAATGTTTTATCAGTATCTTTCAGATATGATAGCCGGTAAGACAATAAAGATTAAAAGGAATAGTATATTTGGCCAGTGACAGAGAAGAGTGTTCATAATATAACTCAGTTGACTAGTTAGAGATGGAGAGGGGTATCACATAAGTTAAGGCCGAGATATAGCTACGATCCCTGATGAAGGCTTTTAGCTTAAAATACAAGTTAAAACTAACAGGATCAGCACCGATTTTCATTGGTTACAAGGCTATTTATTCATGGAGATTAAGAGAAACCATAAAACTATCATGAACAGCTCAATCATTTCATACTGATCACCTAAATTAAAATTGTAGAGAGTGTATATTAGATTTTGAATGCTAACATTGGCGTTTAAAGCTAGTAATCATGTCATCACTAGTTTGGATTGAAATTCGAACATGATTATATGGTTACAGAGATGATCTGTTTCTTAGTATGCTATAACCTCATATATTTGGACTAAATACAATATGTACCTAGATATATTTAGCATTTATCTTGATAAAATTAAAGACCAAACACTATCCTTTCAATATTTATGGTCTAACCCTCTAAATTCATCGTTACAGTTAACAAGAAAACAATCATGATTGTTTCAATGTCAGTCGCCAACATGTGCTGATACTTACTTTATACATAATACAATACAGTTATTGACAGTCGATAAGGCTTCACAATTGAAAAACCATTCATCATTTGTCTATATGAAAATGAAACGATCAAAAGATTCAATACTCGACTGACATTTATCGATTTACAGCAAAATTAGGCTTCCAAAAGTAACCACCTACTGAATAAACGAAGCAGTTGTTAATTTGTAAAGTGATTTCATTTTGATTCATTTGTTATTTGACAACTTTCGAATCAATATTAATCCATAAAGGAATATTTTCTGTTTGTAATGATCATATATACATAAATGTGTAGTTCACTTCATGAAGTGATGTTAGTTAGACAATCATTGAAAACCAGAGAGCACGTTGGATGATTCAATCTTTTATCATATCCTTATATGCAATCGTTTTGATACGTTACTACCATTGAAGTAACTGCTTCTATGAGTTTGGTGTTCATCTTGTTCTACTTATGTATATATACATTTACTTGGTCATACCTTATAGCTGACTTACTGAGTGACTGATATTGGACAGTTGTATCGTCCTACTTAAGAGCGCATATCAATAATCCCATCAACGATAGAACTAAGGGTGAGGTCATGTATATTTGCTGGAGAGGAATCACGTACTAAAACGAAACAACTGTCCGTAATCTAACATAAAATATAACTACCTCCACAAGCTATTGAACCAATAACCATATATAGATGAACTGAACTTAGCAGGCGGTAAAGTACATAGTTTCATTTTTAAATCAAATAAAAACATGGACATTACATTTTTACTTCATTCTTTCATTTAGTGATCAACATAATCAAATTAACTTGACAAGTTTGTTATTCAAATGACGATGATGATTTGAGTTGATTACGATAATGGTGATGATGATGATGATAATGATAATGACGACTTTATATTGTTGTTTCCATAGTTACTTTATTCTCTTTGAAAAATATGTGAAACAGTTTCATCACTTTTCCTATTTGTATTCTCAGCAGGTATTGACAAGATTCACTAGATATAATCTATGCATAATAAGAGAAAGTGTTTCTTTTACTGTTAAAGTAGAGATAACCTATACTTATCTATCTTAATAGTCTATTTATCTTACCTTTAAAAGTAAAACAAATGAAGATGTATATTTTCACAAAACTAAATCATTAAAATAGTCTGCTTAATTATAAATCAGTATTTAACTATATTTCATTTTTACTTAACTAACAGACTGAACATTGAATTCACTTAGTATTGTTTGTTTGAATATTCCCATTGATGTTTAGGACCGCAATTCGTCAGTCTCTTATTGGCATATGTGCATACTGTGCGTATTGTCTCGATATAGCCTTAATTCACAAGCATTATAATGGGAAGATTCAAACAAACAATACTAAGTGAGTTTAAACTTCACCCCATTGCACAAACAAGTGTCTATCAGGAATCAGTAGCTGAGTGGATAACGCGATGGAGTTTGGAGCGAATGTTACTGAGTTCGAGTCCCAATGTGAAAATCAACTGTGAGATGCATGTACATCCAGCGGACGAGTCCCAAATAGGACAAAGTGACGCGCGTTCTGGATTCCATCGCCAGGCACTATCCATCACTCCCCGACCTCAGAAACCAAGAAAAGGATCGTCCAACATAAGTGAAAAATATCTCAGAAACTATTGTGATTATCTTGAAGTTCTTTGGCACCAACACTACTCATAAACCAATACAGTCATTTCATATTATTCTGTGTAAATAAAAGAACACAAAATTATAAGGAGACAAATGCAGTACCATTTATTTTAGATAAAGTACACCGGCTGAGGAAAATAATAAGTAGGACAAAGTGGGAGCTTCTATACTTATGCATAAATGAACGTAGATTAGCAGTGAGACAACGTGGTATACAATCACTGATATAAATGTATTCAGATAACCATGGACGGATATTTGACTGAAATAATCGTCTAAATTTCGGAACTCCATGAATACCAGAAAATTCTTAGAAGCATGACATTTAGATCAATTAGTGAACAACAGATACAGTGACATTGGCCCAACCTACGAACCCATACAAAATAGGTCAACCAATCAAGAGGCCAGAACTCAACATACTAAGACAAAAAACGTGAATCCCAACCCAAATGTGAATGAAAAATCCTAGGAAGACAGCCAATCATAAAGAAGACTATTAGGATGAGCCGATTTAACACTTGTGGAGTAGCATACACTTAGTTGCCTTTATTATCTTGAAGAGAGCAAGAACAAAGAATTGAACAGAATAACCTGGAATCATTTTATTTGATTAAGTTCTCATCAGCTGCTTACAATCTATAACACTTTAAAGCCAAAATTGTCTTAAAGTCTACATGCCTATAACAGTATAATTTAATCCCTATCATCATGATAAGGTGACAGTCTGAGTAAGGCGATTGAAGACACGTAAATAATCTAACATAATACTTATGGGATAGCCACACACAAAAACTTCTACATGAAGTAGCGGTGATATTGCTCAGGATGACAATGAAAGCTCAATAATTACATCATCCAGTCAAGAAAACTAAACACAAACAAAAACCATATTCCATGTGAAAAATCACCAGAAACTTTCTATACTTATCTATAATATGTTTTAAAAAGAACTATAGGAACACTCGAGTACTTGATTTGACAAACGTTGATAAAACTTGAGTTCCAGTGAATAGATCGATCTAATAATCCGTATTTGCATACTTAACCTAGGGTTTGTATATATATACCCAAATCTTCATCAATGTAAGCTAGATTTAAGCATTACTCTTCCATAATCTCTAAGATGAATCCATGGTTGAATAGTCTTAATCTATAATATGTTAAGAAATATATCTTCACTGAATGATTCATTTTGTATTCCACATATTCAACATATTTTCATCCATTTAACTGGTTCTTACCAACTTTTTTCCCTATTCAAGATAAATGTTACACATATAGGTGGTAGTCTATCAATTCTTCCACGTGATAGTATAAGTATTTCAAGAGATTCAATTCTTAGTTGGGAATATTTAGATATAAATATGACAAGAATGCAAGGTCCATTACAAGCTCAAATAGTTAATCTACGCGATCCAACAAGACCAGTTACAAGTTTTCGTTTAGCTGATCTACGTCAAGGATTAATAGCATTACAATTATTAAATTATGCTGAATCATTAGTAAAAGTAAGTTTACAGATGTATACACGTATAGATGATTTATTAAGTTATTTTCACTTCTGTATTTGTTTCAACTAATAATAAAGATTATTTTTAATGATCTGGACTGGATGGTTTGGTCGTGGAGCTTTCGTCATCCTTCTGAACGACACCGTCAGCACAAACTACGGGTCGCAAAAACTTTCAGACTAGACCACATAGCTCCAATATTGTTTGTGTGTACTCCGGTTGTGTAAACTTGTCATTTTTATTACGCAAATATCCCTACAATACTCGGACCACTGAACAGACGAAGCTTCAGTAACATCTGCGATTATTGCAGTCAATGTTACTGGTGCTTTTATGATGCAGTTCGCGGCAATTATTATAATTTTGCCTTAATCTCAATCTGGATCAAGCGAAAAAAAGTTACTATTCTAGCATACTTCTTCCTCCGACATATTACATCGAAAGACAACATCACGGTAGTCTGTACAAGGTCTACAAGTCATTTGATTACCGCGATAACAAATAAAAAAACTTCTTAGTAGTCCCATATATTGTAGCCGCTTAATTCTCATGTGTTCTCTAAAATCCTTTGTGAGCCGAGTGTACATGAGCATCAGGCATTGAAATCGGAGCTGTGACCTTGAAATCTCCCAAACGCTTCTGATTGGCTCGTCCATAAATTATAGTCTCGCCACTGATATTACGTAAAATGCCAAAACTCTATTTAGCAATGGATGGATGAATTTCTCGCCGAAATCCAAGATCTGTTATCATATATCTGTTTGGTTCATCCATAAATTATAGTCTCACCATAACTGAAATATTTCCACGTGTCTAAGACGAATAGCCTTTATTCTTATGAACATGTTATACTATAATTTGATCACTTATAGCCTACAGAAACTGACAGCTTTAAAATAGTTAGAATGGGATTTACGGGAATTGTAGGATTTCCATAGTTTCAAATTACAAACTGATCTTAACTTGATGACCATTAAAAAGCTAGAAGTGGGATCATGGATGCACACTTCTGGGGATTCCTATTCTAGGAGGAAATGATCTTCCAATGATTCCAGGTTTTTATTAGTGATCTAGCTAAGATCAGTTTATGATTTAGAACTATGGAGAATTTGAAATTTTCGTAAATTAGTATCAAAGAAATTATTATTCAATATAATATAAAAGCATTTTTTTAGCATGAAGATAGTTTACTCCATAAATTGACCCTAAGTAGTTATTAATTGAAAATGTAAGAGCGCCAGATAAATGTTTCATCTCGTTCTAGAACTTTTCCTCAATGCGTACTCATTTGTTCCTCCCCAACAGAGATCGAATACAAGACCCTATGGTGTACTTTTTTACAATCAGTCTAATTAATATAATCTGTAATGTCTTGGATTATCCTGTCTTTGATATTTCTCGACTAAATTTTTATCAGTCTTGATTACATTATATGCATCCTATGCAGATTATCTCAACATAGCCATTATGATACCACTTTATATAGAATAAATGTCATGTCGCTGACTGCGGTATCTAGGATGTATTTTTCGTCTTATTTGGAAGGCGTCAATTTTATGTACCTGGAACCTGGAATCGCCATTCATTCTAGGATTCGTTTTTTTTTTAATTTTTAGTTTCCTCCTAAATAATCTTCTTTTACATTACATATTTTTTTTAATTCTATAAAGGTATTTACCATTACAATGACAGCAATTGATCCATACTTTCAAGTTAGTCAACCGGTGAATTTACGTATTGCAACATTTTTACAACCGGTGGTGGAAATAAATTCTCATACATTGGCATCAAATGCACCACCATCATTTCAAGTTTTTAGTTTACCATTATTTACATATACCGGTGCAATATCATTGATACAAAAGCATAATATTCAAGTAAGTGTTAAGACTTATGTACTGATACCTAATTTCTTCTTGTTAAATTTATTTCGTTATATATATAGTACTAGTCATCTCCAACGATTTACTTCCAAACAATGAGCACAATGACGTCGGGGGTTCACTCAAACTAGTGGTTACACTACAGTTTGAATGGAGGATTGACACTTGTTATTATAAGCGAACAGTTCATATGCAAAATGTTTATGACGTGACCCTAGATAACTAACCTTCAAACAATAATGCTGATATTCCAACTAAGTGATCTCGTATGTTAACACTTATTAGCGCATTCAAACTCCTTGTCCGCAATCCTCAATAGGAGAATAAGACAGCTGATGGAACTTTTGTATCTTTAATTCAAAAGCCCACGTGGTTATGTATATAAGTTACAGGACTACAATACGCCATAAACAAGAAATTAGAACATGTTCTTAACTAGAGAGGTTAGAATACAAAATGAGATAAAATAATAAGCCTATGATCAACTTGCAGTAATTTGAAACTAGAAAAATAAAATTCACTTGGTATTGTTTGTTTGAATATTCCCATTGATGTTTAGGACCGCAATTCGTCAGTCTCTTATTGGCATATGTGCATACTGTGCGTATTGCCTTGATATAGCCTTAATTCACAAGCATTATAATGGGAAGATTCAAACAAATAATACTAAGTGAATTCAAACTTCATCCCATGGCACAAGCAAGTGGCTATCTGGACTCAGTAGCTGAGTGGATAACGCGATGGAGTTTGAAGTGAATGGTACTGGGTACTAGTATCAGAGTGAACGTCAACTGTGAGATGCAGGTACATCCAGCTGACGAGTCCCAATTAGGACGAAACGCGCTTCCTGCATTCCACTGTTAGCCACTGTCCATCTTTGTTTAGAATAATAAAATTTTACAATTAGGAAAATATAAAAATTACATAAACTGTATGCTTAATAAATACATATTAAAAAAATGTACAATGGCTGACCATTCGAAAAAACAGCCTCCAAGTTTGATCAATTTCACTCATTCCCTTTTTCTAATTGTTCACTAATCGATAACGATTCAAGATCTGACTCAGTGATCCGAAGTTATCGTACTTATCAAATGTCCCAATTGGTTCTGACATTCGTTTTGGTATTCGGATTTACGAGTTTACAGCATCAGGCACTTTCAAAGTAATGCTAAACATAAGACAATTTTCTTCAGTTAAAGATAAATACTGAATAAGTCTCATTTGGGAAAATCTCTACTGAACTACTGTAATCAAACATCTTCATGAAATTTAATAGGAAATCAACCATGTAAAATTAACAAGATTTCCACTTGAACCTTTGTTAATAACTAAGATTGAGTTCAAGTCCTTACACTACTTCTAAACTTGAATTCAACCAATAGAGAAAAAGAGAGAAATATGAGAAAACGCTTTATTTCAAGGTTAACTTATATACAAAAAGTGGAGTTTGTTTATAAGTTTGTCAGATAACTTCAATTTGTCTGAAACTTCTGGAAACACCTAATGTACTAGCAAAATATATAGTTATTTAATCAAAATTTGACACACAAAAAGAAATCCTTCATTCTTTTTTCGATGGAGTTTTGTTCTCTGAGCTGGATGGTTTGGTCGTGGAGCTTTCATCGTCCCAAAGTTTGTTGTTGGTATTAGCTCCACGACCAAACCATCCGGCTCAGAGAACAAAACTCCATCAAAATCATCCACCTGAGCTACAAATCTTCTTCAATATCTCAAAATAATATCAGCGTAGTACGCTTCTCATTGTTCGAAAATGGTAGAATTTCACCAAGAGAGCAACTATGTTTTCTCGACGAGTGTTTTCGTCAGCATGTTCTACCAAGAAGTACAAGATGCAGACCTACAATCAACTGCCCATTGCGATGGAGAGTAGCTGAGCAAAGTGGAAGAAAAATGGTACACCTAATGATAACGGATGCACATTACAGGATCCACAAATACCAACATATCATGGAGGATCAAAAGATGAAGCTACAACGGACACTCACATCAGAACACTTCAAAATCTTTACAACAGCTGTCAAAATATCAAAATCCTTCATTCGTTTAAATGTTACTGAGATGGTTCTATTCAATATTAATTGAATATTATGTTTCTAAACTTTTCTAGGCTTTTGAAAACTTTGTTAATAGGCTATTTTTAAACTATCAAGAACAACAATAAGCAAATACTGTTATGTAATGTCAGCTTTTTTCAAATAATTGTTTACCGTATGTAAATTCCTATTGTGAAATATCTTTAGAACAACAAAAATGTTAGTAAAATTTAAAAACATACCAGGATGTTATAGCAACAATAAAAAATTATGAGAAGGGGGTTTGGTGGAGATTTCAGTAATTTTATATAGTCATGAGTCAATCGAAGCTAGACCACCATGGAAAACCTGAAAGCACTGGACGGCCGTTTCATCCCATTGTGGAACTCCTCAGTAGTGCGCATCCATGATTCTGCCTCGTGATCGCGCAATTTCATGGATTGGTTGAGGTTTGACATTAACACCGTTGGATGCCGGCTCAGTGGTCTATCGATTAAGTGCTCTGGCGCGGGACTGGTAGGTCTTGGGTCCAAATCTCGCGAGTGCGGGATCGTGGATGAGCACTGCTGAGGAGTCTCATAATAGGAAGAAACGACCGTCTAATGCTTCCAGGTTTTTCATGTTGGTCTAGCTTCATTTGACTCATGATTTCAACTATGAAAATAATGTTTCTACTAAGGCTTCAAACATTATCATGTTATTTACTTACATATTAAGACTATATATTTACTCTCTCTTTTAACGGGTGTTATATTTACGTTATCTCCTTATTGATATTCAAAATTGACAATGAATTTATGTTACCTATATGTATGATTATAACTTGATATTAGATTTTTTGTGATTGAATATACAAATACCAATAAAAATTGATCACATTCCAATTTTCATTACATCACCAACAATCTAATATAAAACCTTTACCATTGAATAGTTAGGGAAAACAAAAATTTACTTATACATTGTTAAATACATACAGGTATATCTATCCATCTATCTATCTACCTATCGATCTACCTATCCATTTATCTACTATCTATCTACCTATCTATCTATCTACCTATCTATCTACCTACCTATCTATCTATCTATCCACCTATCTATCTACCTACCTATCTATCTATCTACTATCTATCTATCTACTATCTATCTATCTATCTACTATCTATCTATCTATCTATCTACCTATCTATCTATCTACCTACCTATCTATCTGTCTACTATCTATCTATCTATCTACCTATCTATCTATCTATCTTTACATAGTTTTACCTACATCATTAATAATACTTGAAAAACAATGATTTATTATAACTTATCTTTTTATTTTTCAACAAATAAAGAAGAAAAAACAAGCTTAGGTACTTTAACCACGTGTTGTTGATATGCAACTAACTTATTCAAGTATCTTCTCATCTTAACTTTTTTTTAAAATTTTTTTCTAAATTTTAATGACATATATATATATACTACTTTATTCTTCTTTTTATTTTCTGTCTTGTATAATCTTTTCAAATAGACTATCGTCTTCTTGATATAGTTCATCTTTCACCTTATTCTAACTTGATATTTGGCGCCAAATTCTTTCAATATTGTTATTTTTTGTTATTAATGTTATACATAATGTCAAAGTAAAAAAAAAAAATTTTTTTTAATTACTGAAAATTCATTAACTGTGAATGTTTATCTATGTGTGTGTATAATGTGTATATATGTATGTGTGTATATGTGTATGTAGGTATGTTTACACCCCTTCATAATGATTACCATGATAATTAGGGAGACATTTTGACTATTAATACTATTTAGTTAATAAGCATTATCACCAACGTACTTTGTGAATATAACAATAAAGTATTCATTTATCTTAGTTACAATGAACTAATAATAATAATAACCATAGTAATAATAATTAAGAATGAAGTTTACACTAACTAGCCAGTTTATATATAACTGATTAATAAACATTGTGGGGGGGGGAAATATAACAGTAATCAAGGTTGTATATATATATATATATATAAGAATAATGATAATAATAATAATACTATTTAACTGTACACAAATCTTTAACTTATAGTCAGTTGGCACTATAATTCATTTATTAACTTAAATAAGCTTGTATACATCCTCTTTCCTTATTATTCTTATAATGTAACTATATATGATTTATATAAATAGGCGCCTATCCTTGTTATGACTAGTAGTTGTATATGACATTCATTAATACTATTACCTAGTTAAATTGATGAAAAGTTAAGAGTTTAAAAAACAAAAAAGAAAACTAGGTAATGATAATAAATGACTTGAACAATTGGATAAGATTCATTCAATCTTATCGTATTGAATCATTCCCTTAAGTAATTTTATTCAATATTACATGTTCTATGAAATTTCTATTTTAAATATTCACCATAGTAACTAAGTACCTTATGATAAGTGAAAAACATTTTTTTTTTGAAAAAATTTAAGAAGAGAAAAAAATTGTATGACGTACACATGTGGAATTGAAAATAAGTTGAGAAAAGAAAAAAAAATTGGTTAAAAAAACAAAAAATTTTTTTGATTTTTCAAATTTTTTTTTAAGAGAAAAATCCAAAAATATGGTCAAGTTTTTTTCTTATTTCCCATATGCAAATACTATATTTTTTTGTTTCTTTTGACTTTAATGATCAAGTAACAGATTATTAATAAGCTAAATGGGTTACTATAATGAATTGATTTGGTTTATTTATCAAACCATTTAATGATTGAAATTTCTTTCCTATAAAGTCTTCTATTTAGTTTTATTTTTAAATTTATCCATTTGACTATAATTCATTATCATAGTATCTATGGTATTTGAATACGACTTTTTATTTATTTAAATACATAAATATTGATACAAAAGGGGCATCAGATATATATGCACTACACAAATCTCATTTGATTTGTGTGAAGGCTGTGATACTGCCAAAGTGCCTAAATTGAAGGAGGTGGTTTTCTTAGTGGACCACATCCAAAGCCTTTGACCTATACGTCTAATCTACAAGACAGTGAAACATCATGAGGAGATACAGTCCCATGGTAGTCGGTGATCAACGATTGATTAATACGCAAAATGTTTCTCAGAATACTGGAGCTCATGTGCACCATTGGTTTTGAATCAGGGTTTTCCAACTGCTCTAGATGAACTCGCCGTGTCCACCGACCCGGTTAAAGCACCGTACATTCGCTTTTCGTCCTCTCAATTTGGTTAACAACACTTCCGTCACGAGAAGGCAGTGAGTAGGACTGCTCTGGTAGTGGCTATATGCGCGTTGTTATGTGAGAGCATTTGGAGAGGGAGAGCGGACTCTCTCCACTCTCGGCCGTACCAGGGCATTTGGGGAAAAATACGATTATAAATAGTATGGGAATATGCAAGATATATGAAGTATATGATGTGGTTTGTACTCAAAAAAATGCTAGTAGATTTAATCTAGAAAACGATACGAGCCTTTTTGGTGATAATCTTTTCATTTGAAACATTTTATATTCAATTTTGTTAACTGTAACAGCAATGGAATGAAATATTTCAGTTAGAACACATACATACTATCGGCTAACAGAAAATGGACGTGAATACATGAATAATAGAATTGCTACTTACTTAGTTTTTGATGATTTAATTGAAGTGTAAATATCTTTCACAGTTAACATTACTGACTGACCTTAGATCAATAACTATTGAAAACCAGGAAGTATTGGATACCTGCTTTGTTCTAGTATGGAAAATCAATCATGTTGAGTGTGAGACAGTGACCGAATAATAATATTGAGAGATGGTTAAACATTATAAAGAATTAAGGGGAGCTAGAGATACGAACTATTGGACTCCGACCCAGTGTGTTTAAATGTCGAGTCCTTGTTGTAAGACCTATAGGTCCTATATTGGAACCTCAAGGATGTTATGGTAGCATATTGTTGAAGAGTCGCGTACTAGAATGAGACAGTTATTCACCGCTTCTTGTTTTTCAATAGTTGTTTAACTAAGGTCAGTCCTCTACTGTTAACTATGAAGTTTAGTGGTCTCCGAAAACCCCCTAAATCGTAACAAATATATTTTCGGTCAGTTTTATTTCCAGCTTCCTTAGTCATATTCTTTCCTTTAAATTATAGGTTGTTGGTTATATTGATGAAAGTATGATTGTCTATACAATCAGATCATGGCCAAATGAAGAGATCAATTTATACAATAAATTAGCAATAAATAAATCACAAGGTCAATTACTATTAGATGGTCAATCAGCGTATGGTGTAAATTTTGGTCCACCACATATTGCTTCAATGAGTTTGGCATACATTCATACTGGTGAATATGAACCAACTGTAGAACGAATTCCCCTATCGATAACAATCCCTAGTTTAGTGAATTCACGTTTGAGATTAAAGCGTGAACAAAACACAACTATAAATCATGACTATTTCAATGGAAATAATAAAAATCTTCATCAAAGATATCAACATAATGGATCTGGTAAACAGCGTAGAAAATATAGAAGAATAGCAAATAGTTTACCATTTTTACAATTAGAATTATCAATAAGAATTGTACGATTACATAATCATGTAAGTTATTTTTTCTACTTTTAATTGTACATAATCACAAGTGAATGTGTTATGAATATTCTTTCTCAATGTTACTTAGTGAGAAATCTTACTTAAATAAAGTTGTTTAACATTACAACTGTGAACGCTTGATTGCGTAATGAAATATTGATTAGAGTTAGACATTAACACCAATGGATGCCGGCTTAGTGGTATAGAGGTTAAGCGTTCTCATGCGAGACCAATAGATTTTGAGTTGGAATCTCGCTAGACGGTATCGTGGATGAGCACTACTGAGGGGTCCCATACTAGGACGAAACAGCCGTTCAGTGCTCCTAGGTTTTCCATGGTAGTCTAGCTTTAATTGACTTATGAATTCAACTATAAAATATTAAACTGACTACTGAAATAATTTAATTAATTAATTATACTTTATGAGTCAAATGGCTAAATTAAAGTTGAATGTATTCTAGTAGTTAAATTCATGAGTTAGTTAAAACTAGACCACCATGGAAAACCTAGAAGCACTGGATAGGATCACTGATGAATAAATTGAATACATGAAAATAACAATAAATAATTAAAGTCACAAGATATACAAAAATAAACATTGATTGGTATCATAAACAAAGATAGATGGTGGTTAATAGTGGAATCCAGGACGTGCATCACTTCGTCCTATTTGGGAATCGTCAGCTGGATGTACCTACAACTCAGAGTTGATGTTCAATCTGGGACTCAAACCCAGTACCTTTCGCTTCAAATGCCATCGCATTATCCACTCAGCTATTGAGTCCTGATAGCCACTTGATTGTGCAATGTGGTGAAGTTTGAATTCACTTAGTATTGTTTGTTTGAATCTTCTCATTGATTTTTAGGACTACAACTGATCAGCCTCTATTTGGCATACGTGCATACTGTGCGTATTGCCTTAATTCACAAGCATTATAAGCAAAGATGGATAGTGGCTAGCAGTGGAACCCAGGACGCGCGTTGGTTTATTGGTATCAGTTGAACATGTATTCAGTTTAATCTCTATTGATTACCAAGCTCTTAAAAATAGGGAATAATGAATTAGCAAAATATGAATTTATCGTCACCATGTTAATTTAACCAATCGATTTAAAGCAATTAACAGGTAATGTATAAAGAAAAACTATAATTTAGAGCAGTTGAACAAAACTTTAGTAGTGGCACAACTATAACCTCACTAATTCATGCTAAAACGATCACGCTATTTGAGTGCAACACTCTCCCTACCAATTTATAATTTCCGCTTATATCAAGTTGATTAAAATGAATTGTTAGATGATTGATGATAATCGACCAGAGACCGGAGATATAGGTTTTGTGCTAAATGGAACCCTCAGCAAAGTATACTTAAAATCTTGAAAGATCTGACGCTATCTGTATCATTCCAATACACGTCATCCAGCTTCACAATCCAAAATATTACCAAAGAGCTATTCGATTAGTGACTTACCCTCGTTAAAACTGAGATCTTTACGGGACCTAGATCAACGATTTCCTATCCGTTACCTGTAACCACATAATGATTGATACTCTGATTTCTAGATTGTAGGCAGTTTTTTTTCCATATTATTCGTTCCAATCATTCTGTTTGCTTCATTTAAATCTGAATTGTATCATTATTGATAAATTCGTTTAGATATTCTAGTCTATAATGTCATTATTACTTCTATCAATCATTCATCCCTTTGATAGTACAAAACATGAGAACTAGTAAACTTGTATTTCAACAATAAGCCATTGTAATTTCGTTTTAACATGATTTAGATGAAGAAAAAAAAGTTTGTCGTATACCATGTAAAACGTTCATTTAAACTACTACCATTATTATTATGTAATGATTTAAATGAAAGATGTCCAATGAAAGTAACCATTTAACAGTTGCTCTTTGGTATACGTTTAAATTCATGTTCAATCCTATTTAACATGTATTACAAATGAACATTGTCTAATACAATAAGTAAGAATATCCTTAGTGAGGTAAAGGAAGGGGATGTCAATGGTTTAGAAAAAATATAAATACCATCTATACACATTAATCATTGTAGAATTGAATATTATGTAATATAGTGTAATGACGTGAAACTCTTCTCTTTGTTTAAAAAAAAGAAAAGATGACTGTAACCATGAATGGTAAATAGTTGAATTGTCAGAATAGATGAAGAAAGAGTTGTAGAACTACTTTGTTTAGCATAAAACTATTTACTTGCTTACTTACTTACTTACGCCTGTTACCCCCAATGGAGCATAAGCCGCCGACCAGCATTCTCCAACCCACTCTGTCCTGGGCCTTCTTTTCTAGTTCTATCCATTTTTTGTTCATTCTTCTCATGTCTGTCTCCATTTCTCGGCGTAATGTGTTCTTCGGTCTTCCTCTTCTCCTTTGGCCTTCAGGATGCCTTGTGACACAATTGGGTGATTTCCTCAATGTGTGCTTAATTCACTTCCAGCGCTTCTTCCTGATTTCTTCCTCCGCTAAAATCGGGTTTGTTCTCTCTCACAGTAAATTGTTGCTGAAATTGTATGGCCAATGGATCCGAAGTATCTTGCGTAGACAACTGTTAATAAACACTTGTATCTTCTGGATGATGGCTTTCGTAGTTCTCCACGTCTCCGCCCCATACAGAAGAACTGTCTTGACATTTGTATTGAAAATTCTGACTTTGGTGTTGGTTGACAATTGTTTTGAGCTCCAGATGCTTTTCAGTTGTAAGTATGCTGCTCTTGCTTTGCCGATCCTCGCCCTCACATCTGCATCTGATCCACCGTGTTCATCAATGATGCTGCCCAGATATGTAAAGGTTTCCACATCCTCCAAAGCTTCTCCGTCAAGCGTAATTCGATTGGTGCATATTGTATTGTATCAGAGAGTCTTGCTTTTCTCTTTGTTTATATTGAGACCTACTGCTTCTGAGGCTGCTGCTTTAAAAGGACTCACAAAAAAGAGAAAAGTATATTCATCATGTTCACAGTTTATATCTTTTTTTAATAAACATCTCTCTATCTACCCTTTTCTTTCTTTCAGATTAACAATGGTGCTTTAAAATCAGGGAATACATTTCGTTTGCCAACATTATCATCAATATGTTTTACAGCAGAAGATTTTCTTACACCAGAAGCATTAAAAGCTGTACGTAGTGATATCATTAATTTAGCATTTGTTGTTAAAGTAGCACCTAGTCAAGGTGTATTAGTTCGATTGCCAATTGTAAAAAATTTCACTACTTATCATCATCTCCATAGAAACAATCATAACAACAATCAACAGTTAAATATGGATTACTATACCGATGAGAAGATTCCTTTAGATAATAATGAAATAACATATAGTGAACAACAAGAATTAATGGAGAAATCACAAATTGGTGTTATCCTTTTATCTGATTTAGAAACAGGTGAAGTGTGTTATTTAAATCAACGTCATGATCGTGCAACTGATTTAATGGGTATTAAACAAATTGGTCGTGTTGATTTCCCAACGGTTTATATGACATTTGAAATACAAGTAAGTTACTGTTTTTATTTTTGTACATAAAACAATAATAATACAAACCGGTATAAATAATCAGAATGGGGATTTGTGGTGATTGTAGTAATTTTAGTAGTTGAATTCATGGGTCAATCCAAGCTAGAACACCATTGTAAACCTGGAAGCACTGGACGGCTATTTAGTCCCAGTATGGCAGTCCTCAGGAGTGCTCATACACGAACATCTAATCTCTAGACCACTAATCCGTCATCCATCAGTATAATTGTTTAACTTCAATCGATCCATGATCTTGAACAACCCTTCATCCATTGTCTCAAGTCATGACCAGTGGAGTCAAATCCCTGTCAGGTGGAGAAAGTTATCTACGTCAGACAATAGATGAAGGGTTGCACAAGATCATGCATCGATTGAATTTAGTAATTGACACCGCTGGATGCCGGCCAAGTGGTCTAGAGGTTAGGCATTCTATAGCGAGGCCAGAGGTCCTGAGTTCAGATTCCATGTGTGAGAGTGCAGATGCGCAATGCTGAAGAGTCTCATACTGGAACGAAATGGTCGTACAAATAAGTTCTTAAACTTCCCAAAAAACTACCATCTGAGCTCAGTATTTTATTGGAAACGTGATTGCTCTTAACGAGTGATAGGTACTGAGTTCGAGATTTAGTTTAAATATCAACATTGTACTGCATACATTTCCAGTTAATAATTCTCAAGTAGGACAAAGCTCTCATAATGAATTTCACCACTAGCTACAAATTGAAAATGATATATATTACTATTTTTATTGTTTGAATATTCCCATCATATATTCAAGGGGAAGAATGTATTTGTGAATTCTCAGAGAATGAATTTCATGTAAAACTAACGTTTTGCCTGTCAATCTAGTTCAAGGATTTTTCAAAAATATATAATCAAACATGAAAATTATCGAATACAAATAAGTACATAGTTCTCTGGTTGATTGTATACTAAATTGGTCATCCAATCAAGGTTAACAATGTTTAAAGTAATTAATTGCTTTAATACTTAAGAGACTTGTGGTATAAAACGAAGTATTAAGATAATAGATCTTATATATATGTATAAGAGTATTCTTTTGAACAAACAATACTCTAAGATCAAAAATAGTAAGAGTCAAAGATCCAGTACACAAGAAAAACGACAAAATTATGTTTATGAGATCAAGTGTAGTGATTCTAATGCTATATATGTAAGTGAAACATCACGACAACTAAATGTCAGGGTGAAGGAACACAAACTGTGCTTAAAGCACATTCCTAAATCCACAGATGATGTAAGAAAACTTGAGAACAAATAAGTGATAGCATTACACTTTAATCAGCACGACAATCCTTCAAAAAAGTTTTAACTCTTACCAAGAAAGACTAACAGCTGAAGCCCTACACATATAGGCAAATCCAAACAATATTCATAGGAGAGATGGCATACAATTAACTATCCCATGGCAACTAATAATTAATAAGTAAACCTGAAGGTCAGTCGAGGCCTGAATAGCTCAGTGGTAACGTCTCTGACTTTGAAGCTGAGTGACACGGGATCGAATCCCTCAGGGGACACCAGTTCTCTCAAGATTACAGGTGCACCTTGCTGACGAGTGCCAAGTAGCACAAAACCCGGGTCCAGGGTTTCCTGTTGACCACCTCGAACCACCATCTTAACTCAAAACCTGAACTCCTTATTCCATTTTATCTATCACTTATTATCTGAATAACAGCAATTACATTCTACGATTCTAATCAGTTGTCTTATCTGATAATGTTAGACAATTAACTGGAATAATAAAAACAACCCAAATATTCATTTACAAAAACATCCTTCCTCTTTGAATTCATTCATTTATTTTGTTTATCTAACTTCATTTTATGCATGCTGTGACATATATGATTCATTTGATATATTAAAATGTACAATATTTGAGCGAACAATTGTTTTCAATAACTTCATCATCAGGCTCTACAGTTATAAGTCCATAATTATAATATTTTACATATTAAAATGTGTATGTTTTCTTAAAAATTCACCAACAAGAGACAATGTAGGGTGAATGAAATTTCTTATCTCACCACTTAGATAAATAGACAATCTGTTATCTTAACATTCTTCGTTTCATAACACAAGTCTCTTACACATTAAAGCATTTAACTACTTTAAACATTAAATTCACTTAGGATTGTTTGTTTGAATCTTCCCATTGAAATAAACAATACTAAGTGAATTTGAACTTCACCACATTGCACAATCAAGTGGCTATCAGGATCAGTAGGTGAGTGGATAACACGTAAGCGTTTGAATCGAAGGGTACTGCGTTCGAGTCCCAGAGTGAACATCAACTCTGAGATGTAGGTACATCCAGATGACAAGTCCAAAAATAGGACAGAATGACGCGCATCGTGGATTCCACTGCTAGCCGCTATCCATCTTTACTTACTTTAAACATTGTTAACATTGATTGGAAGACCAATTTAGTATACAATGAACCAGAGAACTATGTACTTATTTATATTCCATAATTTTCATGTTTGATTATATTTTCTTGAAAACGCTTAGACTAGATTGACAGGCAAAACGTTGGATTTACTTCATATTCATTCTCTGAGATTTTACATATACATTCTTCCTCTTGAATGTCTCACATCAACTCGCCGCCCAAATATTGTGTAACTATTCGACCAAATTAAGACGAAAGTTCTTATATATTCCTAGAATTCAAATGATTAATTTGTTAATAATATAGATAGATCTTCTAGTTACTACTAAAGATTAACTGAACATATAAAATAAACATCTTTATCATGGTTGTTTAGTGGCCCGATATCTGACTACAGTTAAATTGTACGAATGATTGTTATCGAAATATACATGCTACCAACCTTCATATATAATTATCGACTTAATTCGCGTTCGAGAATAACGGAATAAGTTAAATACGAGAATGAATTTTGAATACGTATATTTCATATATCTATTGGTCCAGATAGACAATCAGAGAAACGCAGTGAAGGAAGCAAAACGAAATGATGCGGAGAGAAGAAGGCTAGTGAACCAACTCGTTTTAATCAAGATTGACTCAATATTTATATTCAGACAAGTATGAGTTACAGATGGGGTTAATAGGGCCAGCAAGTACGATCATATCAAAACAGCTAGGGTTAATAAGCGAATATTCAACAAGGTGAACATGTGGCTTGATAAGAATGAATAAATTGGTCTCTCTGGAATCTAGAATAGTCTATGCGGGCTTGACAAAGGTACCAGACCTTAAAGTTTTCTTGATTCCACATCAATCTGTTATCTACCGAATTGAAATGTTTATCATGAAAAAAACTACAGCTTCGAGGTAAACCGACCGTCATTAATCCCAATTTTTAGAATAATCAGAATTCACCAATAATAGTTGGTTATCGATTAAAATAAAATACTAAATTTAACAGAGTTTAATTGTAGACACCTTCCAAAGACATTCGATCTTATCAACAGGCTAATAACTGATTGCATATTTTAAATGAAAGTATGGAGAGACCAAACTTTATGGATGACCTTTGAACGGATCTTAAATGACCTTGAGAAATATTAGCCAATCAGAAGACAGTTAGTATACAGTAAAAATATATGCGAAACTAAAAAATTAAAGCGGATACTGTTCTTTTACATGGTTCAAAAACTTCTCAAGGTCAGATATAGGTTCAGAAGTTAGAAATTCATAGTGCATCCGGTACAGGGACTCATCCATATGGCTCCATAGTAGTCGACCTCTGGAGCCATGATAAGGTCTCAAAAATTCTTTTAGCCTCGACCACATAGCTTCAATGTTGTTGGTATGTTTGTATGGTTTAGGGTTAGAGTTTAGTGTTAGGCTTAGGGTTTAGGGTTAAGGTTTAGGGTTAGGGTCTTAACCTTAATCGTGATCGAGCGAAAAAAGTCATTTGAGTACCAGTCACAAGTATAGGAACTTCTTAATCATCAATTCTCTTGTAGACGCTGAATTATCACGTCTTCTCTAAAATTCGCTGTAAACCGATCGTACGTAAGTACCAGGTACCGAACTTAGCGCCGTGACCTTGAAAAACCGCGAAAACTTCTGATTGGCTCGTCCATAAAGTTTAGTCTCGCCGAAAGCATTAATTCTTCGTAAAATTATAACATAAATGACCTAAAGCCTGTAAATGAATCCCTCGATGATATATATTATAAAACCTTATAATAAGGTTCAACAAAAGTGTGCGAAATCTTCTTTTTTTCTTTCATCTTTCTATTTAAACTTAGCTATCTTTTCTTTTTTTTCTTTCTGCTTCATCTTATTCAAAAAAAAACATTTTGTTACTTGAAGCCTCCTATACCTATTATACTTGTTGAAAGAATGGATCCAAATGTTGTACTAAGAGTACGTGAAACAGCATCATATGTTCCATTAACATCATTACATTTAAATTATGGTATGGAATGGAATATACCATCACATAATTTTGAACAATATAATCAATCAATGTTCAATAATCTTGGATCAGAAAATATTACTTATACTATAATTCAAGCACCAAGATTAAGACAATTAGAAGATATAATCAAAATGAATAAGAATGTATATATTGGAACACATGATGCTGGTCGTTTAGTTAGTTTATCATCGATCACATCTAGTACACATGTTGGTGATATGAAATTACAAGCTGGTTTAGCAATAAATCTACGTGAAGCTCAAGTACCATGTGTTACACAATTTACACAAAGACAAATTGATGAAAATGATATTGTTTATGTGCCACCAACTCAAGATATTGGATATACAGTAAGTATATATATATATATATATATATATATATATATATATATATATATACAGAGTTGTAGTTGTTATAAATTAATCTCATTTGAGTTTGCATTAAAAATCAAATAGCATTGAATAGTTGTTTCGTTGTAGTGCAGGACTTCTCTCACCGTAGATTGTACTCGGTATCTTCAGTTCTCATAACGAATACCTAACCATCGAAATCATTAGTTTGACATACAGTGGTACAGTTTCAACTTTAATCAATTTGTGATCATTTAACGTCATTGATGATAGCCGAGATGTCCGATCTTTCGTTTTCATATGCCATTTACATTATTCGACTTCTACATTTATCTTTTATGAAACTATGTCTGTACGTAGACTTATAAAATAAAGTTTTTCGATGTTACTAGGAAAGATGTATGCTTCAAGTGTTATGTGCGGTTAACGAAAGCAAGATGTAATTGGCCACAGCGGGGACAAACAAGAACTCAGCCGATTAACTGCTCAATACATTATTGTCTAGTCTATACTTTGATCCTCTATTTTTAGTCTTGAAACGTCTATCTAGTACAACGTGATCCAGCCTGTGTTTAGCGTATCGATCAAGTATCCAATCTCATGATGATCAAATCTCTGTTCCCAGTCCAATCATCATATTATGGTAGTATATTGAAGAAACAGAAATTATTTCTATTCTTCTGTTACATTATAGTGTTGATAAGGAAAAAAATCCTGCTCACAATACTTTAGGATAAATTCACATAATGGCACTTGATTTCCGTGCCTGTTAGTCATATATAACTCATTGTCAAGTTACTTTACTTAACAATAAAAATTGTTTTAGGATAGATCAACTAACAGACTTAAGTTACACCCTAATACCAACAACGAGAAGCGTACTACGCTCGTATAATTTTGAGATGGTGTAGAAGATTTGTAGTGCAGGTGGATGATTTTGATGGTCTTTCGTTCTCTGAGCTGGATGGTTTGGTCGTGGAGCTAATACCAACAACATGGAATCGCGTTGAAAATTGCCAGAAAAATATAATATTCAAATTTAAATTATTTGGACAGATGCTGTCAGTATATCAACAAGAATAACAAGGACACTATCCACAATGAATTTCTAATGACTTTTAATATTATCTCTCACCTGAGATTGATAATTATCATCTTAATTGTTGAAGTACTGTATTTATTATAGTTATATTGTCACGCTAGGTCATATGCACTATTACTTACTTACTTACGCCTGTTACTCCCAATGGAGCATAGGCCGCCGACCAGCTTTCTCCAACCCACTCTGTCCTGGGCCTTCTTTTCTAGTTCTATCCAGGTTTTATTCATTCTTCTAATGTCTGTCTCTATTTCTCGGCAAAATGTGTTCTTTGGTCTTCCTCTTCTCCGTTGACCTTCAGGATTCCATGTGAGGGCTTGTCTTGTGACGCAATTAGCTGATTTCCTCAAGATGTGCCCAATCCACTTCCATCGCTTTTTCCTGATTTCATATGCACTATGGACGTGACAAATATGTGGATCGGTTAAAGTTGTCATAAATATCATATTAACACAGAGAGATAAAAACTTTTCCACCATAAATTCCACAGTAGTAAAATTAATAACAGTATCAGTAGTTAGAAAAGGTGAGGTATAGAAAAACAGATAGATTTTGAAACTCATGTTCTAGAGGAAGACAAGGACTGAATATACCTCAGACATTGAAAACTATTCTGAGCCGTGTCAGGCAAAGTCTTTAGCAATAATCATGCAAACCACAATTAGGTAGACCACACCTACCGACATGACTCAGTCCAATTTTCATAGTTTTCATGGACTGGTTTGGCTGCCTATAGATTTCTTCTAATCTACTCCTATACCAAACAACATCGCCCTTCCAACTAGTTAGTGATTGTGAATAAGTTACACACTTCCTAACCACCTAGGTTGATGGAGATTTACTAAGTCGTCAAAAGATTTGGCATATTTGCATAGCACTTCTTGCCTAACCTCAGGATTGCTTACTTAGTAGTCCTAAGATACACGAGCGATACTTCAAAGACACTTTTGATGGAATGTAAGCAACCTACAAATATTTCTCATTCCCAATGGCCATTTTTCACACCCACAAAATAAAACGGACAGTATATTTATTTCCTTATTTGGCATACCAATATCTCACCCACGTCACAAGTGACGCAAATTAGAGAAACCAACCGAACTTTCTGAATCCATGCCGAGATTTTATAAGATACACTAGCCTATCAGGAATGGTAAGACTACCGAGATAAATGAGGCAAACAACGCATTCAACTACTTCACTCCCTATCATTAATTCAAGAGTTGACGCAAACCAGTCCAGAAGCAACGTTTTAGATTTCGATGAAGAGAATCTCATCGCAACTTTGGTTGCATTGTTGCTTAAAGCGATAGAGAAAGTATTGAACAAGATTTATGACGTTTATAATTCATTACAGATCAATAACGGTAACAGAATTTAATTTGTGTTCTTAGCAGGTTCAGTTTGACGGTGCCCATACTAATTTTTCTTCTTAGCTTAATCAAAACATGAGATGGGTAGAAAAATCAATGATTCGCTTATAAATAATCGTTTAACAATTGAAATGACTTATAAAGTATTTACTTTGTCATTAAAACTAACGCTTTTAATAATATATGTTTCAGTAAAGCGAATATACTCAAATTTTCTTTTATATATACATAATGTAGTTTAAAATCTTCTAAAGATACTCTTTCATCAAGGAACAATACTATCTGAAGAAAGGCTTGAAGCAAGCTGTAACTCGGAGTCCTGAAGGGAAGCAGGAAAGAGGAAGGCCAAAGAACACATTACGCCGGGAAATAGAAGTAGGTATGAATAATAACTGGAAAGGATTGTCCAGGGCAGAGTTGAATGGAGAATACTGGTGTGCAGCTTATGCTCCCACACGAAGGGTAACAGGCGTAAGCCAAGATGAGCCAATAGCAACTATCTGACACCCTTTAGCTCATACATCCGAGTTCACTGTCAAAGTCCAATTTTTAGGAGTTCTCAACTTTAATCAATTTTGTATTATGAAATAGCCACTTTTAAAGATACATCCATTGTCAAATATTATTCACTCTCAAGTTGACTTGTTCTTGTTCAACAAAATTATTTTAAGTATCATTGAAATAATGAATCGATCTAAGTTAGACAACCATTAAAAACCTGAAAGCACTGGATGCTCATATCACTCCAGTATTGAACTCCTCAGTAGTACGCATTCATGATTCCGTACGAGGTAATCAAACCCGGGAGATTCAGTTTTCAATGTTGGTCCAACTTATATTAATTCATAATTTCAATGAAATTGAGCAAATTACATAACCCCTTATTGATAATTTGAAATATACATTGTATTTTTTTTTAAGGATCAAGACTTAATAGTACGTTATACTGTTTCTGGTCCCACTGGTTATGAATTAAATAATCGTGAAATGCGTATACAACTTGTAGCTGAAGATAATCAAATACCAGAAGTTAAAGTGAGCTATTCAATCATTTGAATTTTCTATTCTAAATTCTTTATATTAATCTGATTTTGTATTGAATCATTCAATTAGTATTCCACTTTTGATACTTTCCATAAGTGAATTAGATTTTAATCTTATTAAACTTTATAATACTCAACTCAATTACTGGGACATTATACTCATCAAAAGGTGTTTTTGTGGAGATTTCAGTATTTTTCATAGTTGAAATCATTAGTCGGTTAAGTGCTCTGGCTCGAGATTGATAGGTCCTGGGTTCGAATCTCGCGAGTGCAAGATCGTAGATGCGCATTTCTGAGGAGACCCATAATAGGACGAAATGGCCGTTCAGTGCTTCCAGGTTTTCCATGGTGGTTTAGCTTCAATTGACTCATGATCTCAACTTTGAAAAATACTGAAATCTCCACAAAACCCCTTCCAATGATCAATTATTTAAAAAATACTTTATTGTTCATTACTTTTTTTTCTTTTTTTCTTTACACTAGATCATTGCCCCCTTAAGATTACATCGTGATGGGGAATTAATTATTGATTCCAATGTATTATCGATTAATGACTTAGATACACCAGAAGAAAAATTATTCATTCAATTTGAAACTTTACCAAAATATGGTAAAATTCTTATCAATCTAATTGAATCTACTCAATATAATCAACGAAATAAAAATTTAAATCTATCACAATACTTATTAGTTGTTAAGAGTCAAAATATATCGTATAGTTTATTTAAAAAGGGAAAGTTGATGTAAGTTTTTTTTTCGTTTTTTTTTAATAATTATTTTTGTTGCTAAGTGTCCGAAGAAAATATAAGTATGAGTAATTGGCTCATATGTAATAATTGTTTATATAAGAAAAAAATGTTAATCAATTGTCTCATATTTGTTTCATAGTTGAAAGCATGAGTCAATTGAAGCTAGACCACCATGGAAAACCTGGAAACACTGGATGGCCATTTCGTCCTATTACGAGACTGGTAGGTCCTGAGTTCGAATCTTGCGAGAGCGGGTTCGTGGATGCGCACTGCTGGGGAGTCCCATAATAGGACGAAACGGCCGTCAAGCAGTACTTCCACGTTTTCCATGGTGGTCTAGCTTCAAATGACTCAAGCTTTCAACTATGAAAAATACTAAATCTCTACAAAACCCCTTCATACTTGTTTGTTTCTTTTGTTTCCATGCCAATTATTATCTGTTCTTGTCGTTTTTTCTTCGATCTTATTAATGTTGTGCCGCCAGGCATTTCACTTTCGATTGATGATACATAATACTCATTTTAATAGTTGAATTCATAACTCAGTTAAAGCTACATAACCATGAAAAACATGAGAGCAGTGGACATCCGTTTCGTTCTAGTATAGGACTCCTAAGCAGTGCGTATCCACGAACCTGCTCTCGCGAGATTCGAACTCAGGACTTATTAGTCTCGCGTGAGAGCGCTTAACCACTAGACCACTTCAAATTCATTATCTAAGATTTTACAGATATATTTTTCCGCCTTAATGTATTAATTACCTGTTGGCACTCATCAGAATATTTGAGGTTGAGATCTTCGAATTAATTGGAATCTATGATAAATATTGATAAATATCAACGAACAGACAAGTTGTATGATCACAAGTTCCTATCATTTATTTTCACGATCCTAACCATAAATGTTTCATTCTAGTATTAGCGAAGATTATGGTTTTCACATTGAGTAATAAATCGTTTAACAGAGGCTCTTCAATGAAAATCTACAACTTCTCTTCTAAGATATAACACTCTTCAAGCTTTTTTATGTAATAATTCACAACAGTTACCAACTGGAGTTATAATATTAACAAAATTCATAATATTGTGGTTAGAAATAAACGTTAATTTAACCAATCACTGGAAATCTTGAAAAATACATATATGTAGTGGTCTTTATAAGCATTAACCTATAAAATCTCACTATACAGCACTAACATACTGGCCACGATTTCAATACGTTAGACTTTAGGTTCTAAGACATTTTATTTACTGAATTTTCCAGTTAGTTGAAATAAACATTGAAATCCTATTGTGGTGTGTGGTAATGATTTCGACAGATATAAATAGTATGTATCATCAATCGATAGTGAAATACCTGATGGCAGAAGATTAATAAGATCGAAAGACAGAGAACTAGAACAGACAATGATTGGTGTGGAAATGAAGGAACAATCAAGTCTGAGACAATTGATTGACATTTTGCAAATGAAGTATTTATTGTATGTTTCTCAGATTTTACCAAGAGATTCAGTAATTTGTTGTTTAAATATATTTGGTTGTCTCCACTGGTGTTCTCGTTCACTACACTATCTTACTTACAAACGCTAATAACTTCATGACAGTTGTTTACATAGTTTGTATTCGTCTTCGAAGCCTTGATTTCACCATTTACATTGTTCAACATCTAATCAAAACCCCTTCTGATATTATTCAACATATGCTTACTGGTGACTGACCTCAAGATACATGTCCTGGAGTTCTGTTGAGAAACCGTGACCAGTGGAGTTCAACTGGGTCTGTTGTGAGATAGCAACTCACTGAAGACAATGATGGATGGTTGCCTCATTTCAGTGGATTGGTTGAATTTACATATTAACATCGTTGGATGCCAGCAAGTTCAATCGTCTAGAGGGTAAGTGTTTGCACGCGAGACCAATAGGTCCTTGGTTCGAATCTCGTGAGACGGGATCGTGAATACGCACTGTTTAGGAATCCTATACTAGAACGAAACGGCTGTCCATTGCTCCCATGTTTTCCATGGTGATCTAACTTTAACTGAGTTATGAATTCAACTATTAAAATGAGTATTATGTATCATCAATCGAAAGTGAAATGCTTGGCGGCACAACATTAATAAGATCGAAGAAAAGAGGACAAGAACAGACAAGTCTGAAACAATTGGTTAACAATTTGTTCTTATATAAACAATTATTATATATTAGCCACATACTCATGCCTATACTTAACTATTTAACTGACATTGACATCAGAGAAATATCCAGTATTCAATAAACTAACAATTTATCATTAAAACTATTTACATTTATCTATCTAATTATTTATTTAGATAAAATTAAATAAACTTTTAAGGATTCATCTAATATGTCAGTCAACCTTAAATTGAATTCAAATTACCGCTGAAATGTTCATTATACAATATATATATATACTATAAACATCTTAAGCTTTTAATAATCATATCATGTATGTAGCCAAATATGCTTCTCTGATATAAAATTCTAAGCGTTACAAAATGTAGTTACGATACTCCTCCTCCTCCTCCTCCTCCTCCTCCTCCTCCTCCTCCTCCTCCTCCTCCTACTACTACTACTACTACTACTACTACTACTACTACTACTACTAATATTAATAATAATAATAATAATAATGATTGTGTTATAACAACTGGCTCCATTTATGCATCATAACTGTAAGGTCAGGTTATATTACCCGACAAATAAATCAATTTACTTATTTACTGTTCAGTAAGTTTATTTATTTACATAACTACTAAGAAAATAATTCATATGTACTACCATACTAGTCATTTATAAACATACACAAGTATAGTGTTCACATAAATTATCTTGATATTGATAACAATAATAAGCCTAATGAAATGATTTCTGTCTTATAGACAGACTCTTTATAAAATAGACGGATGTAGGTCTTATCTTATGTAGGACTTGTCAACTGGATTCATCTGAATTTCCAGTGGTGATATTTACATGGAGATCCAAACTTAGTATCTTTCACTGAAAACAGTAAAACGATATCTGATAAGTCTTGTTGATTGAACTCTATACTCGAATCCAAAGCTGATCTCGTAACCCCCAAGCTAGAACTACACAGCGACTTGAACACGAGAGAAAAGGCGCAAAATATACGAGAAGTACTTTACTCCAAAGATTTATTTATGTACACAAAATATAGGGTTTTTATAGTATTTTAAAAGTTCTTGGGTTTCCTTAAAAATTCTAGAATGCTACTAAATATAGTAGCAGTGTAGTAATCAACCAAATCAGAAACTCTATATATGACTCTTCATTTCCGCGATATTTCTATAGCAAAACTTCTGATCAAACGCTGATTGGATAAAATTCTCCTTAATGTTTCCTGAGGTTGTCATGTCTATTGCGAGAAATTTTCAGGATCATCCCAATAATATTCACTTAGCTAGTGATTCTAAATAGATGCCTATTTGTTCAGCGGGTATAAATGTTTCGAGCAAAAAATACCACAAAGAGCTAAGAATTTCTAAGACATCGTCTTTTATACAGATTGCCCCCCAAATGCCCTGGTAAGGCCGAGAGAGGGGAGAGTCCGCTCTCCCTCTCCAAATGCTCTCATATGGCCACGCGTATATAGCCTCTGCCAGAGAAGCCCTACTCAGTGCATTACTGTTGTTTACGAAATTGAGAGGACGAAAAGTTACTTTGTCAAAGATAATCGACAGGAAACTCTGGAATGAGGACAAGATCAGTTAAGGCTGGAACGAGAATTCCCTGTGAACTATCTTCTACTACCACACGACTTTATGTCACTTAGATTATAGACGTATATTACAAGTTGACCGACAAAATTTCACTAACCCTTCAAGACAGCATAAAAATCATACTGACTATCACTAAGTGATCAGTTAATTGTATATAGAAAGTTCCTAAATCAAGACATAACCATAACAATCTGTTACAGAATCTGTCATATTATACATTGGCAACTAATCAAATTAGATTTCCGCTGTAACATTTATTTACAGTCAATATATATTTTCATAGTTGAAAGCGTGAGTCAATTGAAGCTACACCACCATGGAAAACCTGGAAGCACTGCTTGACGGCCGTTTCGTTCTATTGTGGGACCCCTCAGCAGTTCACATCCACGATCACGTCTCGCGGGATTCGGACTAAGGACCTATTGGCCTCACGCGCAAACACTTAATCTCTATACCATTGAACTTATCGGCATTCATCGGTTTTAATGTTTGACTTGAACCGATCCACGAAATTGAGCCACATATCCACCATTGTCTTCAGTGAGTTACTATCTCACAACAGACCTGTCCGAACTCCACTGGTTACGGTTTCTCTACAAAACACCAGGAAATACCTCTTGAAACCAGTCATTATTGAGCATATTATGGGACTATTATGGGACTCCTAAGCAGCTTCAATTGACTCATGCTTTCAACTATGAAAATACTAAATCTCTACCATAAACCCCTTCTGATAATAATAATAATATGTATTTTGTCTTGCCCTCTTTTTTTTCTTATCCCACCACAAAAACAATCATCAAGTTATCAACAATCTGGTGATAATGTTAAACAAGATTATTTCATTTTAACAATAACTGATGGTATACAAAACTCAACACCATTACAAGTACCCATAGAAATTAAACCAAGAATATTACAAGGTAATAAATGGCATCAATTAGTTAATAATACAATATTGGTGAAAGAGAATTCAAGTGTAATACTTACACCATCAGTATTCCCAATGGATACAACGGATATGACTGCATTATCAAATGATGTTTTAACTATGTCCAATGCACCACAATACTTTGTTATTGTATTTCCAACTAAAGGCAATTTATTCATAAATCATAAACATAAAGTATCACAATTTACGTATAAAGATATTTTAGAAAATCGTTTAAGTTATCGCCATGGTCCAGCTGAAATCGGCGTTAAAAATGTTTATGATTTTGTAAGAATATGGGATTTTAATGCTGGTGAAACATTCAGTTTAAATTTTACATTAATGCCAGTGAATAGTCAACCACCAGTATTAAGAAGTGAAACATTATTACAGGTTAGTTTTCTTAGTATATATATATTTTTTTTCAAAGTTGAAATCATGAGTCAATTGAAGTTAGAACACCATGAAAAACCTGGAAGCACTGGACGGCCTTTTTCATCCTATTATGGGACTCCTAAGCAGTGTGTATCCACGATCCCATATGTGGAAATCAAACCCAGGACACTCTGTCTCGTATATGAACGAAATAGCAGTCCAGTGTTTCCAGGTGGTCTAGCTTCAATTGACTCATGAATTCAACTATAAAATATAACTATTTCGAAGGTTTGTCTCAGTCGAACTGGTTAGCCAGTATAATATAATATTCTACATATTTATGGATAAGATATCTCGATGGGTTATTAATCGTGATTAATTATTTTAAAAATTTCGTATGTCTAAAGGATGTATCTAATTATAAGCTCATATCAATGGATTATCTCTAGCGAATGTCATATTGGTTAGTTGTGCTTTTATTTTTTTATTTTTAAAATATTACCTTTAAGTTGACAGTTGGCCAAATAAAAATGCAACTACCTGATGACATCCAATACATGTTATCAAGCGACAAACATTTTCCGTTATATATATATTCTCACTCAACAACTATTATAATTTTAAATGAAATCGTTTTTCGTGAAAAAATCTCAGCATCGATACAGAAGGCTCGTCTAGCTTCTGCCAACTTGCGTCATTTATGGTGAAGGTGAGATATCCGTCTACCAACCAAACCACGGGTTTACTATGCAGCAGTTCGTTCGTTCTACTTTATGGCAATGAAACATGGTCCATAAGAGTAGGAGATATTCGTAGGCTACTAGTTTTCGATCATAGATGTCTTCGAAGCATTGCATCCTGGGACCACCGGATAAGTAATGCAGATGTTAGGAAACGGGTACTAGGTAAGGATGGCAAATCGATTGATGAAGTAGTGAAACTTCATCAGTTGAGATGGCTGGGATATGTGTTACGTATGCCCAAACACCAACTGCCCCGACGTGCAATGTTTTATGATGTAGGAGTAGGTTGGAAGAAAGCTAGGGGTGGCCAGACCAAAGCATGGCACAAATCAATGAAGTCACTGACAAGTGGACTAAGTCATGTTGGTAGGTATAGACTACCTGGTTGGGATTCGCGAGATGATAGCAATGGATGGTTAGAGACCTTGAATGACATGGTTCAAAATCGTTTGCAATGGCGAAGGTGCATCCACTCTTTGTGTTCTCCCAGATTCTAATCTTCTGAATTCTTCGTGTCCCTATCTTTTTTCTCTTTTCAAATTTATTTCACTGGATAATAGCCCTTCAATAACATCTTCAAACCCTAATCTTTCACATAATGCTTATACACTTACTACTTCTACCACTATGGTATTTGAATCGACAACTTCATCTCTGTGCTAATGTGGTAAGCAACTCGAACTGATGTACGTACGTACAAAGTTCTACGTTGTGATTCATTCATTTTGTTTTAATAATCTATTTTTTTTATTTTTTCAAGGTCAAAGAAGGTGATAAAGTTGAAATTACTCCTTATAATTTATATGCTACTGATCCAGATACAAATGAATCTGATATACAATTACATATAATACACCCCCCAAAATGGGGTCATTTAGAATTAATCAATAATAATAATAATAATACTAGTACTATAATTAATCATTTTAATATGAAAAACATACGTGATGGTTTCATTTATTATGTTAATTCTATCCATGATAATGGTATAGAATCCATTGAAGATCTATTTACTATTAAAGCATTTGATGGTTTATATTATTCTTTAAATATTATTGAAATTAAAATAGCCATCCAGCCAATTAATGATGAAATACCAAATGTACGTTTATTAAAATATTTCTCTGTTACCATGGATACAAGAAAAGTATTAACTCCTTATTTATTTCATGTTAATGATATGGATATACCAAAAGATATATTACAAATCAATTTTATTGAATTACCTATATATGGTAATTTATTAATCTATTGGCAACATGGTGAAAAATATATGATAACATATAATAGTAATTCAATTATAGAATCCTATTTAGGTATGTTAAATTTAATTTATATACAAAATGCTTCAATGCTTAATACATCACCACCAACAACAACAACAACGGGAACAGCAACGGCAACCCTAAAGAATCAATCATATCCTTCATCTATTCTAGCCATAGATCAATTTACTGTATCCGTAACGGATGGTAAACATAAAGTGGAACGTACAGCTTATATATTAATTCGTCCAATCAATCATTATCCCCCAGAAATGTATATCAGTACTACTACTACTAATAATAATGATGATGATGATGGTGATGATATAATATTAGATGGACAAAAATGGACAAGATTAGATAATCAATTAAATGGTCTTATTATTAAAGATAATGATACATCAGAAGATGATTTAATTATAACAATAATAGAAAAACCAAAATATGGTTATATACAACGTTTACCACGTATGTTATCAAAAGATGGCATTATTGATTATTTAGATTTAATTGAAGAAGCATGGGATATTGAAGAAATGAAAGTTGGCAATGATATACAATCATTAGCACAATTATCAGTAGCAGGAAGTATTGGTGGACCTAAAACAATTAAAATATTAGATCGTGGTGATCAATTTACAAAACGTCAAATAACTACTGGTCGAATTCAGTAAGTAGTATGTTTTTAATTGTTTAATTTATCAATATATATACCATTATTGAAACTAACATAACTAATATACTATCTCACAACAGACCTGGTTGAACTTCACTAATTACTGTTTCTCACTAGAATTCCAGGAAATATCTCCTGAAGTCAGTCACTAGTGAGCATATTTTGATTAATATCAGAAGCGGTTTTTGTGGATATTATAGTAATTTTAATAGTTGAAATCATGAATTAATTGAAGCTAGACTATCATGGAAAACCTGGGAGTACTGGACGGCCGTTTCGTCCTACTGCGGGATTCATGATCTCGACTATTGAAATTACTATAATATCCACAAAAAAACCCTTCTGATATTAATCAACATATGCTCACTAGTGACTGACTTCAAAAGGTATTTCCTGGAATTCTAGTGAGAAGCAGTGACCAGTGGAGTTCAACCAAGTCTGTTGTGAGATAGTAACTCACTGAAGACATTGGTAGATGTGTCGCTCGATTTCATGGATCGGTTGAAGTTAGACACCAACACCATCGGATGTCTGCTAAGTGGTCTAGTGGTTAGCCGCTCACGCGCGAGATTGACAGGTCCTGGGTTTGAATCTCATGAGGCGAGATCGTGGATGCGCACCTCTGAGGAGTCCTATACTAGGACGAAACGGCGGTCCAGTGTTTCCAGGTTTTCCATGGTGATCTAGCTTTAATTGATTCATAATCTCAACTATTAAAATTGATATAACTAATGTTAATTTTAAAAACGGAAATTTTCTAAAAGTAAGGAGAATAGATTCGTTACTCTAACGAATTTTTTAGCTTAATTAACTTTTAGCTAATCACTCTGTTTGTCAAGCTATATGGTGTGATAAATAACAGTCTTGAATTCCGCCAGTGAATAAAAAACTATATATGGAGTAGACTACAAAAAATGCAGAAACTTTAAACTGAATAAATACCTAGATCAATCAGTAATTACTGAACACAACGATATAAATGTAACCAATCAGGTAGACATGAAAATAACAGATCGGATGAAGTGATAACCCATCAGTGGTATTGAAATGTAATTGTAAAAATCACTAAGATAAACCATCGAGCGACAACCCAGTGGTATAAAGGTTGGGTGATCGTAGCGATACCTGATAGTTTTGGGTTTGATTACTAGTGCGCTAGTGGATAAGCACTGCTGAGTTATCCATGTTACACACAAAAGGTAGTTAGTTGTTCATTCCTTCTAGACATAACTATTTACCATATTAAAAGGGATTTGTGAGTTCCCTTCTACAAGAAAAGATTAAATTATATCATTTATCTTCTAATATCTTACTGTTATATCTTGTGGCCGAGTGGATGCCTAGTTAATGTGTGACTTGATGAGACCACCAATCAGAGAGCAGCGAATTATCGATTGGAACAGTGACACACGAAAACCGTACGAGCAGTCTAGAGCGCTTATCGATTCTGCTTCTGCCTAGCCCAGCCAGTTAAGTCCAAAAACACCAATAACAGCCTCTGTGGTATGAATCATTATTCATAAACATACTAGGTTTATACACCAACCAAACAGATCACATTGTACCACAATTATACAGTAGGAAATTGTTATGACTCGTATAACAATCGTTATTGTATATGAAACGTGCAATGATACAGAAAATACGTACGAGCAGTCTTGATTGCTATTCGATCCTTCCTAACTGCCTAGCCCAGCCAGTTGAGTCCAGAACACAAATAACAGCCTCGGAAATATGAATCATTATTCACAAGCACACTGGGTTATATATACTAACCAAACAGACCCAATTATACCAAAAAATAGAAAAATAACATTTGTACAGTAATTGGCCAATGTGGCTGTAGCTAGGGGGAAAGTAATCAATAATAATAGTTCCAAGGTCAAAACAAAGGTTGTGATAAGAGGAACACGGAAACGATTAGGTCACTTATTTAACAACTATCCAATAGGGAATGGGCATATTGTATTTGTCCATAAATAGACATCAGATTTAGGTTACTCATTTAACAACTATCCAATAGGAATAGGCGTATTACATTTGTCCATAAATGGACCTCAGATTTATGATTCATAATTCGCCAGGGGATACAACAGAAATATACATATTACGTTGGTCCACAAATAGTCCTCAAAAGTTACCATTCATATTTCTCTTCGGGATACAACACTTACTTTGTGTAACGAAATGATTTGAAATTAACATTCTCTTTACTGAACTGTAGTTTTGATATTAATATTTCCTATCTCAGATGACAATTTATGAATGAAGGGGAACCATGATAGATAGATAGATAGATAGATAGATAGTATAAATATCCCCACTTGTTACCTTCAATGTGAGATAATATTTACACAGAACTGAAAATTGAGAAGATTTGTGTAAGCCATTGATAGATCATCTATTCTGACTAATAAATGTTAGAAACATTTATCTTTTAGGACATAAATTGCCATTTCCAAATATAATTTTTGGTAAGCATAGATGGATAGTGGCTAGCAGTGGAATCCAGGACGCGCATTCCGTCCTATTTGGGACTCGTCAGCTGGATGTACCTGCATCTCAGAGTTGATGTTCACTCTGGGACTCGAAACCAGTACCTATCGCTTCATCCATCTATGCTTACCATGCTTGTGAATTAAGGCTATATCGAGGCAATACGCACAGTATGCACATATGCCAATTAGAGACTAACCAGTTGCAGTTCTAACACATCGATGGTAAGATTCAAACTAACAATACTAAATGAATAATAATTCTTATTTATTTATTTAATTAAGTCAATCCTCTCATTCGGCTATTCATCTATTGAATTATGATTGTTTAGTCGTTTTTCCTATATGAAACTGACTCGTATTTGTATCTTTGGAGATAAATCTATAGTAAACTGTGATCCTGATGATTTCGAATACTCATCAATTAATAGTCTAGACAACCAGTAGATTTAATAATCGTTCAGTACTCTGGGATTTACCCTAACAATCTCATTTCTTTATACTAATGAGGTGTGGAAACTTGAATCCATGTACACATTGTACCCTTCCACGATATGGGCAGCCGAGAAGTGATATTAGCCCTCATGCCCGTAATTGCACACGAGACCAAGTTGGTCACATTCAAATCCTTGTGCCATGTTCTACGTTGTTAGACTAGCTGAGTAATAACAGGAAAAATTAAAGAAATGATGCTGTACACTCACTAACTGAAATGATTGGTGAACATTATCTTCTCTAAACTCCCGCATTAGTATTTCTTAAAAATGAAATCACTCCTCCATCATTTTGTATTCTACCTATTTTATTTATACTCATAGCTACGTTTACACAGGTCCTTATCAAGAACAATATCTTACTGATTCATGTGTACTCCGTTTATCTGATGGACAATATTCAACTGATCCTATTACTCTACGTTTTCGTATACGTCGAGTGGATGGAACTAATGGGGGATTAAGTTATTCATCATTGCCTTACCTTCCTATCACTAATCTACAACCTTTACGTCCATTAGAATATCCAGAGATGAAAGGTACAATCAGTGAAGAGAGTAAGTAAATATTGATTTTATTATATACAATGAACTAGAGGAATAGGCACTACATAAAGTGAAATCATATTATCATCGTAAAGTAAAGCTAAATTACGTAATCATAGAAAAGATTAGTAAATGTGATAAGTATCTATGGATACAGTGATAATAGTGTTGTGCGAATGTTCGATTCTGCTACTGAAATAAAAGCTTCCTATACCAATCGGTTACTTGAGTGAGAAGGAAGTATTATTTTAAAAACTTAAATCGACAGTGTATATACAGCTCATTCACAAAATTATGCCCACATTATTAATCAATAGTCAGTGTATCCCTCTTTCCTTAATAAGTGAATCCATATCTTAATTGATAGCATGAGTCTATCATTCAACATATGTCTGATTGGCCTAACGTATCATCAAGATAAATTTCCCTTCACTGAAACTCATAGCCTGATAGTGATGAAGAAGAAACATCGAACAATTAAAATCGGATTGTTGATCGTCTCATTTTTGAGCCACTTATGATTAAATGCCAATTTATAAAACTCCAAGGTTTGTAATTATAAAATATATTAAAAGATACAATCTTAGTAGAATGCAATCGACATTGGTTTCACTGGGTTAAGAGTTTTGATAAATGTGACAGAATGATAAGTAAGTTATATTCTGAGTCATATCGGTCTATCGGTTAAGGGCTCTGGCTCGAGACTGGTGAGTCCTGGGTTCGAATCTCGCGAATGTGGAATTGTAAATACGCATTGCTGAGGAGTCCCATAATAGGACGAAACGGCCGTCCAGTGCTTCCAGGTTTTCCATGGTGGTCTAACTCCACAAAAACCCCTTCTGAGTCATATTTGTTAAAAACTAAAACCACTATGTAAAATGATTAATGTAATTGAATGGATACCTAATAAGACTTAATAAATTTTCACAGTAGCTTATATGATGAAGTGAGAAATGTTGACGCGGAGGAGAATTAAAAAAGCAAGGTAGCTTTTCTAAAATCTTGCAGAAGTTAATAACTTACTGATAAAATATCCACACTTGTTGATGACTTCTATACTACCTCGTATGCTGCACCAATGCTGACTAATGGACTCAGGGATGTGTCGATCTATTTGAGTGCTTTGCAGTTCTGCTATAACCTGGTAAACTTGACATAATTCACTTGAATATGCTACCAAAAGTTCGTTGGCTGAATCCACTGAAATCAACATAACGCACGTAAGTCCTAACATACTATACCTCTGTCAGTAGAACAAGTGATTACAGACCATTTTTCGACGCTATCTATTTGTTACGTTCTAATGTCTTCCGCTTTTCTTTAGGAAACTTGGTAACAGATTATTGTTTCATTATTTCATTTAAGAACTACTGACATGTATGAGCTTCTGGACCATAATCTAATAATTTTCATACTTAACTTCTTCTCATGACTTCACTTGGTATTATTATCATACGTAAAGAACATGTTGTTGATAAGCCACTACGTTGAAATCAAATGGGTGATATTTCCTACATCCAGTCAATTTATATTGGTGAGGTAGCCTTTCAATACCACGTGTGAACACATATCCTCAGCTATGGAATGTCCTATAATAATCATTCATAATAATCATTTAGTATCTTAACGTCACTCTAAATTGAATTATGTTTAGCGATTACCAGTTAATATCTTAAATTTAAAATGAAGACAAGCTCCGATGATGACCGATTGCCTTTCTAAAACCCAAGAACAAACTTGAAAATCTATTTCAAGTTTTGTATCATGCACTGGTTCTTGAAATGAATAATTGTCATACGAAATTGCGCAGTGATTGAAAGAAGAAATGCAAGCCATTGAATTCCAACTTTGTGGTTTTAAGGTTAAATACTCGCCACGAGGCCCCTAGGTTATGTATTTAATTAAATATTTGAACTTGGGCGCAAAATACTGAAAGTTTCAGACTTGAATGGAACAACTATTCAATCCTTCCTGGTTTTCAACTACTGTCTGACCGAAAATCAGTCTATAATGTGAAACTTTGGGTTCGAAATTCTCCACAACACCTCATCGAAATAGTTTTTACCCGCAACTTAAAACCTGACAAGTATGTAAGCCTGTTTGATAATACATATGTATATACCAAATTAGCGGGATCAAGAAAATCATATTTAATTTGAAAGAACGAGTTCAGATAGTACAACTAATTTTTTTCATCATATCACTTTACCTACTTATAAGTAGTTCAACTTTATATTCTAAAATATTTCCGTTTGATTTCAGATGACAAAGAAGGAAATCAAATGCATCAAAACGATGCTTCCGATACTACATTAGATTCATTTAATACTGCAATAATAACGGCTACAATCAACAGATTTACATTTATCCAATATAAAGACATTAAATTCGACAAATTAAATGATAATCAAATTGAAATAATATATAATTTAAAGGATAATAATTCATTATCATCATGTGGACTATTAGCACATACATCAGATCCATTAAAAAGTATTATGAAATTCACTAATAATGAAGTACGCAATCATCAAATTGTTTTTTATCCATTAAATTGTGAAAATTATTATTTAAATAAACAATTTCATTACGATTTTATAATAACCAATTCCCTTGGTGATTATTTAGGTCAAAAATCAATAATAATATCTATTCAAAAACAGAAATATCATCATCTACCTGAATTACAACCATATTCTAGCCTAATCATCCTCCCTTATACAGATACTATAATTAAACCTAATCATTTATCTATGAAAGATAAAGATACTAATCCTAATCATTTAATTTATTTAATCTCAACAAACTATAATAATGAACAATCTAAACAATATGGTCAATTCATTAATCATTATAATCATACAATTCATTGTTTTACTCAATCACAAATTAATTCAAATCATATTCTATTTAGTTCATATTCAAACAACAATCCTTCATCATTTATCATTGACTTATATTTATTTGATGCTGGTGATATAGGACCTATTCATAACTTAAATCAATTATGTAATCATATTCTATCATATACATTTAATAATAATAATAATACAAATATTCAATATAATTTTAATCCATACTATGAAAGAATGTTATATACTATTAAACAAAATGATACAAATATCATTAAAACAAATGAACCGCTTAAATTCAATGTTCAATATCGAGACTTGAAACGTTTAAATAATAATAATAATAATAATAATTTATTAATCAATAATAGTAATAATAATATTGATTTATTGATTAATAATGCTCCAAAACCTGATCACTTAGAAACTATTCTACCAGGATTAGTTGGATTCTATTTAAATAGTGAAAATATTTATGCATTAAATCCATGGATTCAATATAAATTAATAAATAATCATAAAATGAATTGTATATTATATAATAAAATTAATAATAAAACAATTTATGATTATTTTTATCAAAATGATTTAAATAGACGTAAATTAGTAGTGATATTATTAAAAGATAAAAAAAAATTTAAAAAATATTCATCGTCAGCATCATCGTCGTCATCATCGTTGTCGTCGTCGTCGTCATCATCATCATCATCATTATCTACATTGAATGATACAGTTTGTAAAATCGAATATGAACTATATAATGTAGATAAATCAGTGGAAAGGAAAAGATATAGGTAAGTTTATCTGTTTTTTTGTTAATAGATAAGTTGTTGTATATAAACTATTATGGCGGAGACTATAATTTATGGACGACCTTTGAACGAATCTCAAGTGACCCAGAGAAATAATAGTCAATCAGTAAACAGTTAGAACGAATGTCCGGCGCTTTAACCGGGTTGGTGGACACGGAAAGTTCACCTAGGAGAGTTGGAAAACCCTCATTCCAAACCAATGATACACATGGGCTCCAGTATCCTGAGGGAACAAATGGCGTACGAACCAATCGTTGATCATCGGCTACCATGGGACTGCATCACCTCACGATGCTCCACTGCCTTGTGGATCAGATCTTTCGGTCAAAGGCTCCGGGTGTGAGCCCTAAGAAAACCACCTGCTTCAGTTTGGGCACCTGAGCAGTATTACAGCCCTCAAGCAAATCGAATATGAATTGTGAGTCGCATATTTATCTGGTGCTTACTTGTACCAATATTTATGTGTTTAAATAAATAAACAGTTAGGACAGAGTAAAAATATATTATACAAAACTAAATTATTAAAGTGGATACATCTCTTTTATATGGTCCAAAAACTTGTCAAGGTTAAAAAAACGTTCAAAGGTTTTAAAATCGTAATGTACAAGGTAGAGGAAATCATCCATAAGGCTCCATAATAGTCGGTCTCTATAGTTATGATAAGGTCACAAAAACCCTCTCAGCTTCGACCACATAGCTTCATTATTTTTTGTATGTATTCCGGTTGTGTAAGTTTATCATTTTTATTATGGATATATCCCTACAATACTCATACTACTGAACAGCCAAAGCTTCAGTCACATCTGCGATTTTTGCAGCCAATGTTAATGGTGCTTTTATTATACAGTTGGCGCCAATTATTATAACATACCTTAGACTCAATCTGGATCTAGCGATAAAGGTTCCTACTCTAGCAAACGTCTTCCTTCAACATATATTACATCAAAGGACAACATCGCGGTAGTCTGCACAACGTCTACAAGTCACTGAATTACCACAATCATAAATAAATGAACTTATTAGTAGTCTCATTTGTTGCAGCCGCTTAATTGTCAAGTCTTCTCTAAAATTCTCGGTGAACCGATCGTACATGAGCATCGGATACTGAAATTGGCGCCGTGACCTTGAAACCACTAAGACGCTTCTGACTGGCTCGTCCATAAATTATAGTCTCGCTCTATTATGCTTTAGTGAACTTGTTCTAAACGTAGGATACTTGTTATAACGCTAGGGTTTCTTGTTATAACAGTTCTTTCACGTTTTAAACGTATGTGGGATGTTAATTTACCTTTTACGAATAATTACACTAGATTTCCTACCCAGTGTCTATTCTCTAAAGGACTTCAACACAACTCAGATCAAGAGCACGAGATTAGCCTGACTAGAACATCAATATATTTCCACACGCCCAAAATCCGACACAATCCAATAACAAGGAACAGTCAATACATAATAAGGATAGGGGAGTATGTATAACACATATAACACTTGTTATCCTATATAATGTTTGACTCAGCAAAATAACCAATCATTGTCACTCTCACCTACACATCAGAACTTAATTTATCAGAATTTTTATATAATCTGACTTAAAGTAAATGATTATAAATAGTAAATATATATATTAACGAATGCAAAATGATCAACAATTGATGAAGTAGTGAAACTTCATCAGTTGAGATGGCTGGGACACGTGTTACATATGCCCAACCACCGACTGTCCCAATGTGCCATGTTTTATGGTTGGTTGGAAGAAAGCTAGGTGTGGCCAGATCAAAACGTGGCACAAATCCATGAAGTCACTCACTGACAAGTGGACTGAGCCATGTTGGTAGGTGTAGATTACCAGGTTCGGATCCGGATTATTTTATCAAAATGATTTAAATAGACGTAAATTAATAGTTGGTTTATTAAAAGATGAAAAGAAAATTTTAAAAATTAAAGAAACATTCATCATCAGCATCATCGTTATCATCATCACCATTATCATCATCGTCATCATCATCATTATCTACATTAAATGATACAGTTTGTAAGATAGAATATGAACTATATAATGTAGATAAATCAGTTGAAAGAAAAAAGATTTAGGTAAGTTTATCTGTTTGTTACATATATTTGATCATATTACTATTTAATAGGTTATTAAAGAAGGATAGTTCAAAATTATAGTTGAATTGTTCTGTATAGATTTGCTTGCTTGAACCTAAAGAATCATTTCCTACTTGTAATTTAAGTAATCAATACTATTTAACTCACACGGTATTGTTTGTTTGTATCTTCCCATTGTTGTTTATGATCTTAGTATATGTGCATCCTGTACGGACTGCCTCGATATTGACTCAAGTCACAAGTTTTATAAGCGAAGATGGATTATAATATGTTAGAAGAGATTACGAGTTCACCTAGTCTGTGAACGGAACAAAGACTTGTGACCAACGACCAATAAGCTAGCTATTCTGATGCGTCCCAGCCCCACTAGCTAGAGAAGGAAGATAAAGTCCGAACGGGGAGTAAATATATTGCTCAAGTAGCCAAAAGGACAAGCGATCCAACAGGCACAGATTAAACGTATATATGCCACATAAAACTGTCCTAGGGAAGTGTTACAAAATGGCATACTAAAAGACACAACGAACCAATAGCGTTTAACATTGTCCCAAGTGAGAAATACGACATGAAGGTGAAAAGAGGGCTTTCGGCTCGAAAACAAAGAAATTCAAAATAAAACTACAAAAATAAGGTATTTACCAAGTGATTTCTGAGAATCTAACAGCCCCAACATATACTGGCTAGCAGTGGAATCCAGGACGCACTTTTTGTCCTATTTGAGACTCGTCAGCCGGATTCGCCTGTATCCCATAGTTGATATTCACTCCGATTCAAACAATCAATACACAAATTAATTAATATTAATTTTATTTAACCTTTATACTGCATATATACGTTTGATTTCTTCCCCTTGTGATTTTCTGTGCTTCTGGCTGTTTACGGAATGTATATCTTCCCCATTTCCAACTTGGATTTCTTACTCTATTTAGCTGGGTCTCGGAAGCGTCAGAATAGCTAGCTTATCGGTCTCTGGTCACAAGTCTTTGTTTCGTTCAATGACTAAGTGAATTCGAAAACGCTTCACACATAACATATCTGTATAATCTTTTTTATCTCAGACCACTGTTTGTATTCAGAAAAATTCAACGTAAAATTTATCCTCTTCCGGAATAATAAACGAGACATAGTAAATTCATTGATATGAAGTTAGTGAAGAGAATATTGTAGTAGGGATACCTATAGAATATTACTGACTCCTAATTACACAAAGCATCAATCATGACGAATTTGATTGAGAAATCTGATTTAAATGAACAAATTCTTCATTTAAATGGAACCAAATTATTCAGAATAAAACGTTCAGGGAATCGAAAGTTAGTCGGCAGTACCAGTTAACCGACGAGTTGATCAGTAGAAATTCGTCAAAATAATCTTGAGGAAATCGATACTGTCATTCATTTTGAGTATGAGCTCATCCTGACAAGGATATTATTAGAAACCCTTTGTGAATTTTACTGAAAAAATACCCTTAATTTCAAATGTACATAGATAAACTACGTCACTGACTGGATCTTGAATCAGTTTCTCATTAGAAAACACAACACCGTACCCTAGTTCCTCAAACATGATTTCATTCTGCAAAGTTATTAGAGATAGCTGACATGAACCCCTGATATTAGAACTCGTTAGAAAGGTTTGCTTGTACTTTTGATGAAGCTAATGCTAATGCACAAATGAAACTGGTCACAGCTCTTGTCAAACAATAGTAAATCTAATCTCTGTCTAACGGTAAAAGAATTAACTTGAGCAGTTGAGATGTAAAGTCACTTAGCTTGACAGTAACGCAATATTATTATACTAAGTAGCTTCGAGCTACACTCAAAAGTATTACGTAATCGTGTTTTCTATCTCTGACTTATGATCAGTATGTCATGATCAAGTATTAAGTGTAATAGTGCCACCTCAGAACTTACAGTCAAATTCGATTTGGATTCCAATTAAACAGAGTAAGAAAATACTGAGTAATAAGGATATGCTTGAAGGGGACTTTGGTATATTCCCCTCAATTATATAACTATCAGTGTTATTAATAATAATACCAATATTATTGTATCATTAATAATTTTATTTACTTTTCTTATTCGTGCCAGTTTGGAATTAAGTTGGATTACTCTTGGCTTCGATCATAAAGTATATACAATCTGTCCAGAAAGAGGTATTCTAACATTAACTGTAATACGAAAGGGTACAAATCAAGCGTTACAATCAACTTTAACTGATGTTTACGTTGGATTATCGTCTGATACAGCGATCGAAGGAAAAGATTTCAGTCTACATTCACAAAAACTAGTCGTATTTCATAAAGGTATTTATATGCATAAATATGAAAATGAGTAGTATGTATAATTTGAATTCAATTATCAAGAACTAATTTACGTATTATCTGGGTTCATAATTTTGGTGTATTTAATTGATGGTTTGTGGTTCCGAGTGAATGTGAAGATAATGACTGTCATTAAAAATTGGTGAGAACCCTAACGTTAAGTTACAATCATCGTCTTAATCTTGTTTAATGTATATAACTTATCGCTGAATTGTGAACGTACTTGACCTTCATTTATATGATTTTTGATATAAAATTCATTCCTTTGATTCCCGAGAGTGGGGAGAGTGCGCTGTCCCTCTCGAAATAGTCTCACATGGCCACGTGTATATAGCCTCTGTCAGGAAAGTCCTACTCACTGCCTTCTTGCGAATAGGGTCTTGTTTAGGTAACTGATAGGACGAAAAGCGTATATCCGGTGCTTTAACCGGGATGGTGGACACGGAAAGTTCACCTAGGGGAGTTGGAAAACCCTCATTCCAAACCAATGATACACATGTGCTCCAGTATCCTGAGGGAACAAATGGCGTACGAACCAATCGTTGATCATCGGCTACCATGGGACTGCATCTCCTCAGGATGCTCCACTGCCTTGTGGATCAGATCTTTCGGTCAAAGACTCCGGGTGTGAGCCCCTAAGAAAACCACCTGCTTCAGTCTGGTCACCTTGGCAGTATCACAGCCCACAAGCAAATCAAATGTGATTTGTATGGCGCATATGTATCTGGTGCCCCTTCGTGCCAATATTTATGTGTTTAAATAAAATAAATAAAAACAGACTATCAACCTGAATATACATTATAATAATCAAATGGGAGAATGTATATAATACGAATTTCACGAGATTACTTAAAGATGACCTCGTATAACTGATCAATTCTGAAAAAAACAGTATTCATTACAGAGAAATAAGTAAATATTTCGGGAGCATGATGGTTTTGTTGTTATTGTTGTTTGGATCATCTCATTATTACTATTGGCTCCGACATTATGTCAAAAGAGAATTGATATAATAGTAATGGATGAACTGAACTAAACAACACAAATAAATGTTAAATATATGATTTTCACAGTTGAAAGCATGAGCCAACTGAAGCTAGACCACCAAGGAAAACCTGGAAGCACTGGATGACCGTCTCGTCCTATTATGGGACTCCTCAGAAGTGCGCATCCACGATCTCGCCTCCTTTGGTGGTCTAGCTTCAATTGACTAATGCTTTCAACTATGAAAATACTGAAATCTCCACAAAATCCCTATTAAATATGTGATTTTTCATTTAAAATCAGGTCAAATATTAAGATTTTAATAGTTATATGAAGAATGTGTCCATGAAATTACTGATTCCATTTTGATGAATTCAAACTTTATTTACATGTTGTTAGTTAGTTAGTATTCTACAAATGATAGGCTAAGTTAATGTTGAATGATTAGTCAAGTGAACCTTCTAGAAATTACTTTTCAGCTCAATCCTTAGACGAATTTCAGAATTTAAGTTGATATGTACTGTAGAAAATACAATGACTTTCACCTACATTTAGAGGATATCATAAGTCAATTGAAGCTAGACCACCATGGAAAACCTGGAAGCACTGAATGGCCATTTCGTCCTATTGTGGGACTCCTCTGCAACGCGCATCCACGATCCCACCTCGCGAGCGAGATTCAAACCGAGGACCTACTAGTCTCGCGCCAGAGCACTTAACCTCTAGACCACTGAAGGTGTTAGTGTCTAACTTCAACCAATCTATGAAGTTCAGCAATAAGACGAAACGACCGTCAAACAATGCTTTCAGGTTTTACATGGTGGTCTAGCTTCAATTGACTCATGATTTCAACTATATAAGATATATATTTCATCAATGTAAGTCTAATAGTTCAAAGCAGAACTGTATATAAATGATTGTGAATGTGAATAATAGTGAGTATTTCTGTCACCAAATAATGTAAATATGTAGTAGTTTAGCCGCTTATATTCATTAGATGCCCTATATATATATTGCTTTAACTTTTAAAATGTTGATTATATTATTCATTTTATTCAGGTGAACTAAAAAAAGAAGTACTGATAAGTTTTCATCCAACTACAAAAGATTTTACCGATCATAATTTACGATTTTATGTTGATCTTAAATCACCGACTGGAGCTATTTTAGATCAAAATTATAGAGCTGAAGTTATTGTATCTAGTAAGTTTTTGTAATATAAACAATTTTAGTAAAATCTATAATGCTGAAGAAATATTACTCAAGTTTCAAGTCATATTTTAAGACTAAAAACTTTTACCCAACAACAGAATTTTAATAGTTGAGATAATGAATCGATTGAAGGTAGATCAGCATGGAAAACTTGAGAGCACTTGATGGCCATTTCATCCCATTGTGGGACTCTTCAACAGTGCGCATCTATGATCTCACCTCGCGAGATTCGAACCAAAGACCTACCAGTTTCGCACGCAAACACTTAACCTCTAAACCACTGAGCCGGCATCCAACAGCCTTCGTATGTAAATTCAACCAATCCACTAAAATGCGGTCACCATTCGATATTGTCTTCAGTGAGTTATTATCTCACAACAGACCCGGTTGAACCCCACTGGTCACGGTTTCTCAACAGAACTCTAGGAAATACCTCTTGAAGCCAGTCACTAGTGAGCATATGTTAATTAATATCAGAAGGGGTTTTGATTAGATATTGAACAATGAAAATGGTGAAGCCAAGACTTCGAAGATGGATACAAACTATGCAAGTAGCTGTCATGGAGTTATTAGCGTTTGTAAGTAAGATAGTGTAGAGAACGATAACACCAGTGGGGACAGCCAAATACATTAAGACGCAAAGTTGCAGAATCTGTTAGTAAAATCTGAGAACCATACAATAAATACTTCATTTGCGAAATGTCAATCAATTGTCTCAGACTTGATTGTTCCTTCATTTTCACACTAATCATTGTCTGTCCTCGTTCGCTTTCTTTCGGTCTTATTAACCGTCTGCCGTCAGGTATTTCACTTTCTATTGATGATACACACTATTTATATCCGTCGAAATCAGCAGCACACATCACAATACTCCAACTGGTCTTTAAACATTAATTGATAATCAGATACCATAAAGAATTATGTTTTAATCTAACTGACACTTAATAATTCAAACCGCAAACAGTTAATTACAACAAACCAACCGAATCTGTCTCGTAAATATTAAATATCAATGTAGTCTAATAGCGTTATACAACTTCGGTTAATTAATTTATGATACATTATATGACGATTAGTCAATATGATATATCTATAGGAAAGTAGTATTCACAACAGGAAATTGTACGATTCATAAAAGACGCAAAGATAAAACCGATGATAGTAGCAGTAGTATTGGTGTAGTGGCTTTCCTTCGCTAATTATCATTATTAGCTTTATTCAATATTATATTATTTGGTATAAAATCGAATTCTCAGCACAAAGTATTTCAACATGTTTACGTTTCTTATTTCTTCGTTGCTCCTGATGATAAATATTCAGTGATCGCCAGTTGGATGTCAGCAGTTCAGTCAATCGACATATGAATAATGTATATTCTTTTTGCTGCATGTTCTCAACAAACACGACATTTCTGATTAGGCCTTTTGTAACCTTCACAGCGAAAGGTTGTACAGTTTTCAGAAACGCACCGGAATAAGTTGTTTGCTTAATAGCCATAATTATGTATTAAAACAAACAATATTAGATAACTTGTTGAAATATATAGATGGAAGGAACAGGTAGCTTAGATGTTTAATCGTTCACATCGATAACCCTTATAACATTATTCTCAACGGTGTTTGAAATCTGAAAGCAGTGCGAAGCGGCAACTACAGTTTATTACTGAAAAACACAAGCCATAAAGCTATAAGCACATACAGCGGCTTTGAAGCGGAGAAGCGAGTATGTATGAGTAAGTATTTGAGAGCAGTTACATAGGCAAACTTATGGTCACACTGTATAAGGGCGCAGCAAGAGAAAGCAAAAGCTGATAATAAGATTTGAGTGCATACATATATGGGGGGGAGGATGAATCATCGAATGATATTTAAGCAATCAACATTTTAGCTAGAATCTGTCATGTGCTATAGTGATCATAACAGTACAAAGAAATATGCGGATTGGAAATATTCAAATGACATTGTCTGTTAAGTAAATTAATAAAAGGGCTTAACCAAAATTAACTATAATAGAAATTGGTTGTAGGATAGTTGCTATGTTAGGTTTTGTTCATTCTCCAGAAAAAATAAAAGCTCAATGACAATCGTTTCATCAAAATATACTTCCTTATAAACATTGATATTACATCCGATCACCGGTTGAAGAATATCACATGTAATCGAATAGGGAATATAGAAAAAGAATGACTTACTTACTTACTTACGCCTGTTACTCCCAATGGAGCATAGGTCGCCGACCAGCTTTCTCCAACCCACTCTGTCCTGGGCTTCCTTTTCTAGTTCTATCCAGTTCTTGTTCATTCTTCTCATGTCTGTCTCTATTTCTCGGCGTAATGTGTTCTTTGGTCTTCCTCTTCTCCGTTGACCTTCAGGATTCCATGTGAGGGCTTGTCCTGTGACGCAATTAGCTGATTTCCTCAAGGTGTGCCCAATCCACTTCCAGCGCTTCTTCCTGATTTCTTCCTCTGCTGGAATCTGGTTTGTTCTCTCCCACAGTAACTTATTGCTGATAGTGTCTGGCCATCGGATCCGAAGTATTTTGCGTAGACAGCTGTTGATGAACAATTGTATTTCTGGATAATGGCTTTCGTATTTCTCCACGTCTCCGCCCCATACAGCAGAACTGTCTTGACATTTGTATTGAAAATTCTAACCTTGGTGTTGGTTGACAATTGTTTTGAGCTGCTTTGCCACTCTTGATTTGTCTAATGGCCATGCTGATCTCTTCAATTGTTGGTGGGCCAATATCGATTGAGAGGTCCGTCGGTGCTGCTTCGATGTTGGGTGGGTTCAGCGGGGCTGGTCGATTCAAGAGTTCTTTGAAGTGTTCTACCCACCTGTTTCGTTGTTCTTCAATGTCGGTGATTACTTTGCCTTCCTTGCTTTTCACTGGTCTTTCTGGCTTACGGTAATTTCCAGCAAGTTTCTTTGTCGTATCATACAGTTGTCTCATGTTTCCCTCTCTTGCAGCCTTTTCCGCTGTCATCGCTAAATCTTCCACATATTTACGTTTGTCGGTTCTGATGCTCCTCTTCACTTGCTTGTTTGCCTCTGTGTATTCGGCTTGTGCCTTGGCTTTTTCCGCTCTTGTTCGGCTGATATTGATTGCTACCTTCTTGTTCCTCCTTGCTTCAATTTTATCCAGTGTACCAACAGTGATCCATTCCTTGTGATGGTGCTTCTTTTGGCCCAGAACCTTTTGACATGTTGAAACGATTGCCTCCTTGATACCTTTCCAGTTGCTCTCCATAGTAGTACCCACTCCAGTGATTAAGTCATGAAAGGCCTGGAACCTATTGTTGAGGACTATCTTGAATTTGTTGAGTCTGTCAGTAACCCGAAGAAAAGCCGTATTAAACTTTTGTGATGTTATCCGCGCAGTTGTCCACTGCTTCTTGAGTTTTAGTTTCATCTTGGCGACCAGCAAATGGTGATCGGATGCTATATCAGCTCCTCTCCTGGTTCTCACATCCTCCATCGTCCTCCTGAACTTTTTGTTGATGCAGACATGGTCGATTTGATTTTGTGTAGTGTGATCCGGTGAAATCCAAGTGGCTTTGTGTATGTTTTTGTGTGGGAATATGGTGCCACCTATGACCAGTTTATTGAAGGCACATAGGTTTGCAAATCTCTCACCGTTTTCGTTCCTTCCTCCCAGTCCATATTGTCCCATGATGTCTTCGTATCCAGTGTTGTCCTTTCCAACCTTAGCATTGAGATCTCCCATCAGAATTGTCAGGTTGGGCACTTCTCAACGATCGACTGCAGCCTATCGTAGAATCGGTCTTTAGCGTCTTCATCTTAGTCATTGGTAGGCGCATAGCATTGGATGACGTTCATTGTAATGCTTTCACTCTTTCTTTTGAAGGAGGCTTTGATGATCCTTGGTCCATGAGATTCTCATTCTATAAGTGCATGTTGTGCTTTTCTGGACAGCATCAATGCCACTCCTTGTGTTTGTGGGGCATTTTCTTCTTCATGACCGGAGTATAACAGAAGTTCTCCTGAAGACAGTCGTTGTTGTCCAACCTGCGTCCAATGTGTTTCACTGATTCCAAGCACCTCCAGGTTGTATTTTCTCATTTCTGCAGCAATTTGGAAAACTCTTCCGGTCTCCCACATTGTTCGGACATTCCATGGACCTATAAAAATTGTTGCTCTGGTTGTAAGAAGGTGCATCAGCCTCATGACTTCCGAAGGAACTCGGCTTTCATCATGAGACGTCATAATTATTCCTTCTACTCCCAGGGCAGAGTTTGTAAGGTTTGAATGATTTTTTCTGGTTAGCGTTTTTTTAGCGAGTTGATTTTCTACGGGATGGGGTCGCCAACCCCATGCCCAACCCTCCTCCTTTACCCGGGCTTGGGACCGGCAGTAACCCCCAGAGGAGCTACAGGTGGAGTTAGAAAAAGAATGAGTATTACACATAATTGACGGAAAATGAATATTCCAGTACATGTCCTTAAAATGTGATTATATGTTATGAGTGTTTAGAAAAAATCAATTTTCGTACATCATGCACACTTCAATCAATTTAGACAATCTTTGACAGACCACTTTCGTGAGTTACTTACTATCTTACTGTTTAGTTTATCAGTCATAATTTGCTTACAAAAATTACAAAAAAAGTGATAGTAAAGTACTGTTATTATTTGAGTAACATTGTAGTGAACAAGAACACGGATGGAGACAATCGAATGTACCTTAAGAGAATCATAGTTACTCCTGCCATTTACCCGCACTTGGTTGAATTTCTTCACTTTGACATTCAGAGCACTAGGCAGAAATAACATTGCGTCAAAACCAATCAGTGGACATCGCAATGCTTTGTTTTAATTAGACAGTCGGATTCCCCTGGTCCGTGGCAGTTCTGAGTTAGCCATCGCGCGCCAGACCATGGAAGTACAGCCGCTTGACACAACGTGGAACATGCCTTCGCGCGTTGCTAGCTGCATGACACTTACAGCTGAAACCGCCCACGATCGACCCGGGTCAGAGTTCAATAACCTCATCACAACGCGCACCGAAGCATACAAAGCAGCAAAGAAACCAGCCCTCAAATGGACCGGCACGTATATGATCTCGGCCCCCAGAGCCAATCCTTCTCCCAAAGTTATGGATCCAATTTGCCAACTTCCCTTACCCACATTGTTCAATTGCCAGAGGCTGTTCACCGTGGAGACCTGCTGCGGATATGGATACGGCCTGCCACGAAAATTATACTGCCTCGCTCGGATTTTCAAGGTCCGACAAGAGCGTTCCGGGCACCACAAGAAGGGTGGTGGTTTATGGAATATCTCATTAAAATATGAGAACCATATCGTGAACAGTGAATTTGTAAAATAACAATTAATTGTATTAATTAGACTGTTTCTTCTGTAAATATCCGCCCATAGTCCATGATTATAATTGTTCATGCATTTTCGTACCAATTGCGTGCCGTTCCCGTTCTCTCCTTATCGATCTTCTACTGAAATACATTCAATTCCTGACCATCACCATATACTACTTATATGGATATCAGTAATCCACACCACAGCATGACTATTATATATTTATTAAAAAACCTTCTAAATATGCACTGACATTTCAGTCTGCAGAATCAAGCTAGGGTAATATTGTGTTATTCAACAGACTCCATCTTGTTTGAGTTCCCAATTTTTTTTCATCTGACTATTATCAGATTTTTCTGTTTAGAACTGTATGTTCATTTTATTTATCAAACTGTTATTTGTCATTATTTAGACAATCATGAAAAATGTCAATCAAAATCCTACTTTACACCGATAAAACTAGGAGATGAGACAACTAAAGTAGTAAATGTAAGTAAATGGTGTTTGTTTACCTTTACATAATATGATGAGATGGTACTGTAATAAACAAAACACCGGTTGGGAACAGTCGAATGTATTTCAGCACAAATTACAGACTATCTGACTAAATTCTGATTACCGTACAATAAACGGTTAATTTGCAAAATAACAATCAATTTTCTAAATCTTCACTGTTCCTTTTGTAAATATCAGTTCATCTTCTCTAATTTCATTGTTCATGCATTTTCTCACTAATTGCGCTTCATTTCAGTTCTTTCCTTATCGGTCTTCTGCCAAAATACATTCTATGTCTGACCATCACCATATACTACTTATATGGATATAAGTAGACCACACTACAGTACTATACTATGACATTCATAAGCAATTAACAATGAAATCAAACATTTTCTTAAATTTATCATTCAAGTGTTATACAAATTAAGCATGACTAGGATAACAATTTCTCAGTTAACTATTAACGTTTAGCAGATCACTGCAATTGTAGTAAACTAAAAGAATGTAACTGTATATCTTAAATACCAACTGTGGGATAATTCAAGCCTTTAGAATTATCGGATAGCTCGATCTGCAAAAGCTATAGAGTAGTGTGTGATGGCATTGTTCTGTGATAGATTTAAAGAGGCGTTTATGTTATATATATACCAGCTCAACTCCTTAATGGACCCTATAAGAAACAACATGAACACTATGACCTTTGAACAAATTAATGGGTATCCAGATTCAGCAGTTCAGTAGATAACACATTGAACATATTAAGTGGAAGGTACTGAGTTTTGAGTTTCAATGTGAATAACAACGTTGGGATGTGGCAGATAAATTCACTTGACGAATGTCAAATAAGATTATACGCGCGCCCGCAACCCATCTATTTTATGTAACTGTACATTTGAAAACGGCCCACTAAAGAACTATCTCAAGGAAAAAAGATTTTGACTGATTAAATTGATTCTTTTACTCTTTATAAAACCATTTTTGTTGAATGATTAAAATATTAAGTACAAGTTGTAATATGTGTCATCTAGTTCTAGGTCATCAATCTAACCGAAATTCATAAACCTTGCAATTTGGATTTCAATCAAAAATTCCGAATTTATCCTGCATCTAGATCTTACTTTTTTCTGGTTAGTGTTATTTTAGCGATTTAGATTTTCTATGGGATGGGGTCGCTAACCCCATGCCCAACCCTCCTCCTTTACCCGGGCTTGGGACTGGCAGTATTTCTAGAAGTGCTACAAGCGGAGTCTAACCGATTGGTGTAATTATGAATAAAAATTTGATTTAAATCTTTATGTTCCAAAAACAAAAATATTATCTATTTGTAAAATTATTATGCAACTGCTTGATTACAGTCAGAAACAACTCACTGAATGTTTTCTAAAGATTTTGATTGTGTCTATCAATGAAATCCATTAACTGCATCAAATCCTATTAGGGACACGTCAGCGGAATGTACCTGGACCACGTTATTAACGTTTACACTGTGTATCCAACCTAGTGTCTTCCGAATAAATGCGTTATCCACAAATCTACTGAGTTCAAGTGGTCTCTAATTTGTTAAATAAGCATAAATGTATCAAAAAGTTTTGTTTTCCAATTGTTGATATTGTGAACTATTGATCAGTATTAGTACAAGTGATTAGGATGAAAATCCAATTCTTAATATTAACGACGGGAAAACGTTAAAATCCTTACAATGAACAAACTGAAGTTTAAAGATGATATCAGCTGAAAAGCCATTTTCACCCAATTTTTCAACTAATCAGGAATCAACACCTACGACTTCACACAAACTAAATACAGGAACTTCCTGTTTTGCAAAGAACGCCAAATCACAACAGAATTAAGGGACTTAATTTATAAACTACGAACGATATTTTTTCATGAGTCTGTCCCATTATTGATCAATAAAAGTTCGATGCATAAAATGTACATTACATAAGTAAAACTAAAAGCTCTTACAAACAACTGAACAGAGGCATAGAAAGTTTGCCACACTCTAACATCTATTCATGCACCTAATCCTATGTTAGTAGTATATTTGTTACTCACGTCTATTGCGATAAATTTACTGGAATATTATAGCATATCATTTTCCACAGCCGAACTGCAATACAGATTTCCACTCGGAGATACTTGAATTTCTGAAGTTAAATTCTCAATTTATTAGTATATAAGCCGCTTAGTCTTGCAAGAAAAGGATCACGATACTAATGTCTCGGTGTTTACGTCTCTAACAGCAAAACTAGATGACAAGGGTTTGTATACCATTTTAGGTGGAAAACAGATTGCTTAAAATATTAAATATGCCTTTCGAACGATTGTATACATCGTAAGTCGAGGTCTCTCTTTCGACTGCTCAAATCTAACCCACTTGTTTTTCGAACATCACGGACTGACTTTAGTTAAACAACCAGAATAAACACGAAAACTGTTTAGTCTTAGTATGCAAACTACAGTAGATTGAGGCCCAAACGCGAAACTTATTGGTTGTAAGCCGATCACTTTAACATGCATTTAAACAATATCTCCCCGTTTTATTAGCACTATTCAATCACATTCCGTTTATTTTATTTCTCTTCCTCTTAAGAATCCAGTAAAACGAGATCTTACAAGTATAATTCACTCCAATGTGAATCAAATACGAAATAATCCAATTTATTTATCTGATGCACAAATGAATAATGATAATCACGGTGATGATTATTTGAAAGACTTTAATTGGCAATCAAATCAACAATATAAAATAGAAAATGATTCAATCAAAAATCGCATTAGTTTAACTGAATGGCTTGCAACAAATGATTTACCAGATTCTAAAACGTTAAGTGCGTCCTATGAAAACTATATGCATTCAAATAAGCATACAATGCATTGTTTAAATGGTGAGTTGATTTTATTATGTGTTGTTCTTTGATAAGTAGCACCCCTTCTATCAGCGTACCCTTTATTTGTGCTACCTGTTTGGTAATTGTAAAGTTAACACAATCCGTTGATATATTTAAGCGAAATTTAACTGCTCTAAAATAATTCTAATGTATACCGTTGTTGGAGAGTATCTAATTTATCCCACTGTTGATAATATTGACTGAATATTTGATCGGTCTCAGTTGATATATGTGCACCGTGTTCGGATTCTCTTAAAATAGCCACTGTCTGAAGATTACTAGCTTCGATCACCAACGTGAACATTAACACGGATTCAGGTACATCCAGCAGAAAGTCCCAAACAAGATGAGACGCGCGTTCTAGATATCACTGTTAGCCGCAACCCATCTAACCTATAAAATATTTCAATGTTGTTATTAGACCTTATTGAGAAAAACATATTTTCAGTAGCTGTACGCCGACATCAAATGTTGAACGGTTTTACATAGTTGATCTGTGTTAGCATTCGGCCTAAACCAAACCAGTTTCGAATGGATAAATGTATGAATCATACCAGTGAACACTAGGGTCAGTCTACTAAACTTCTACAGATCCTATTTGCTATTGAATAACTCAACGAACTAAGTTTTGCAGTATTATGACTTGAAATATTCTATCACAATAATTGATTCTGTGGTTCTATTTTCCATTATTACATACACAACATAGGATGGAAATTTTATCAACATCGTTGTTATCAACTATATGAAAATAAAGAAATAACTTGGGAAGAAGCACGAAATTACTGTGAACTGCAAGATGGATTTTTGACTAGTATTACAGATGAGACCAATTTGAAATGGTTAGCTGAAATATTTCAAATACGTAAACCATTCTGGATAGGTAAGTTTTGATATGACGTTATTTCAGGAAAGACTGAAATGTATAATTAAACGTTTGTTTTCTCGGTAATTTAACACAAATTCCATTTGCGAATTAAATCAGGAATATATCTAAAACTAGTCTCAAATTAAATTCATCGGGGGCATTGAAGTTATGCTGTACAACAATCGTTAGACCATTAAGAGGATATCAGAACTTTATCTAAATGATTTCATTAACTAGAAATATCAGCTGGAATTTCATTGAAAACAAGAAACCAATAGAAAGATGTTTCGTCCCTATACAAAACTCGTCAGTAGCGAGTAAGTGTTTCAGTTGTTTCAAATGAAGCAGTTTCCTATCATGGAGACTAAGTGATCGTCACAGCACATCCTGAACTGACTTAAGATGAAGGTATGAACTGTTTGTTTTCAATTCACTAATCTAAATGTGATCTACTAATTTCAAGAACTGGAGATTGAGTTCAATCCCTAGCTAGATTATAGATGCACATTGCTGAGAAGTCATATTCTAGGATTAATCAGTTTGAGAACTCTTTTTCAACGATATCTTGAGTAACCTCAATTCGAGACAAAAACCACCTACGAAGAAATTAATTACAATAAATCTCTCGACGAAAATTATATTCGATTTGATTGAAATGCTCTATTCTAATCACATTCCACCTATTTCTGCGGTCTGGGGAACCAAACAGGACCACTAGACTTGGAACAAAATAGTGGAAAGTTTAAAGCCTGTAATATGAAACCGTACTCAGGAAATAAACTATATTACTAGTACATTTAGACAAGATGGAAATGGAATTTAGTAAAAACGTTGGATAAGTATTCCGGTAAATTATTTTAATATAAAGAAAATTATGATGGGTTTTTTTATAACTGTTATAATTTTTCCTTATTACGACTCAGCTATTCCTATTGCTAGTATTCTTGGACACGAATACACTCAATAGGTCCCCAAATCAGAAAACGGTTGGACAGAGGAGAAATTATATTCCAAATAACAAAGGTAGATGGAAGTAAGAAGCGCAATAAGAAATACGTTAGTATATTTATAGTTTTTACATCAGTAGATCCTAGAATCTTCTCCAAGCATCGACTAGAGCTGATTGGATAAGAATTAGCCAATCAGTGTGCAGCAACACAATAGTGCATGGAACATGCTTTAATCCAATCTGTGTACCGATAACAGTTTTCCATTTTAAATTAAATTTCTCAAACCGTATTTATACAATGTATACATAAAAGCATACAATAAAATACCAGTGTAATCAAACCTAGACTGTAAGTTTTTTTTTCTTAATTACAGGTCTTCACCAAACACAACCACGTGGATCATGGGTTTGGCATAATTTCGAACATGTTGGTTTTACAAAATGGGATAAAGGATACCCAGTCAATACAAAATGGCGAACACCAACTAATAAGCAGATAAAACGTAAACACCACCTAACACAAAAACAAAAACGTTACAGAGGACCTAAAGCTTGTGTACTTGTAACTCCTAATTTATATTGGCAAAATCGATTTTGCAATCGAATAATTACAAATGTGAATTTTATATGTATGAAGAATCCTGAAATATTCTAAGCGAGAAAAGAACACAACTGTGATGCAGATAGGATTATTTGATTAACGAGGAGGTCATTTCTTCCAATCTGTCTACGGAGACAAACGCCCTTTCACTCTTTTCTTTATTTCTTCTGATATATATCTCTCTATCTTGGTTATAATTAATTTACAATGCAAAACATGCTTTAATGTCACTAAAAAATGAGATTCACAGGAATTCGGTCACAGTATATATGTATATAAACTTCACTATTATTATTATTATTGATGCTACTCATTATTCAAAAAAGAATTAGTAGCAACTAATCATAGTTAATTTAACTGTTTACATAAACCCATAATACACTAAAACACCTTTATAAATATACATTTACAGAAATATCAACACTACTACAAAAGAAGTACGCACAAGTTTAAAAAATATTTGGCTTCCTTGGGATTCATATGCATGTAGTACTCTTTTTTTTCTATTTCGCAACAAAATATAACCGTAAATCTCCATATTCTTATTCACAAATTGTAAACTTCTTGCTATATATATATAACGTTAATAAATGTTTACGATTAGAAAATATATTTACGAATTGATAGGTAACAATTTTGTGTTCTGAAAATCTTTGAGGACGAAATTCACTTCTGGGAACACATCTAAATGTAGTGGTCTCTAAATAGCGAGTAGTAATAAACTCTTAATTCTTTACAGCTTTCCATGTTTATTTGAAGAATTAACGCTTTATAACCTACAGGTTGATCAAATCTGGACTTTATTATTATCTTTTCTCAAGTAACATTTAAAACTGAGAACACTATCCAACTTTTAGAAAGACATAATTCAACGTCTAAGTGTTGATTGACCTACATAACCATCTAAAATGTAGCTTAAATTATCATCAAAAGAGGATCAGTTGATAAATGAAACTTGGAAAACCCACAAGATTGACATTATTACCACTACTAGATCGAAAACCCAATATCTGATATTTAGATGTGGTACAACATAAGTTTGTATCTGCACAGTTTTCATTGACGATCACGTGAAGGATAACTTTACCAATTTATGTTAGCACAAGTTCCATCATTTAGTACGTTAAAACGCATAAACTAGCTACTAACTGGCAACATGACTTACAGAGACGATTGCTAAGTGATTGAAATGTCCTAATTTCAACTAATAAAATGAAGGTTCAAACTCCACTCCTAATTGAACACCAAGGAACCATATCTAACCACTAAAGGTAGTTGGAGGCTGAATACGTAAACCTGAACCTAGTGAATGATTTAAGTATAGTTTATAAAACGTGGACTTTCTATGCACTTATAATGAACCATAATAATATGCGTTAAGAGAAAGTAAAGAAGGTTGTGTACAGACAACGATAGCTTTCTTTGTCTTCAGAATTCAGAAACGTAAATGGAAACTATATATATCAATAGATTTCTTCAAAGATTTATTGAATTTCCCAAATGCCCTGGTACGTCCGAGATTGGGGAGAGTCCGCTCTCCCACTCGAAATGCTCTCATATGGCCAGCGAATATATAGCCTCTGTCAGGGAAGTCCTACTCATTGCCTTCTCGTGGCGGGGGTGTTGTTTACGAAAGTGAGAGGACGAAAAGCGAATGTCCGGCGCCGGCTTAACCGGGTTGATGGACATGGAAAGTTCACCTAGGGGAGTTGGAAAACCCTCATTCCAAACCAATGGTGTACATGGGTTCCAGTATCCTAATGGAACAAATGGCGTACGAATCAACCGTTGATCACCGGCTACCATGGGACTGCATCTCCTCACGATGCTCCACTGCCTTGTGGATCAGACATTCAGGTCAAAGGCTACGGGTGTGGCCCCCCAAGAAAACCACCTGCTTCAGTCTGGGCACCTGAGCAGTATCACAGCCCTCACACAAATCCAATGAGATTTGTGAGGCGCATATTTATCTGGTGCTTCCTTGTACCAATATTTATGTGTTTAAATAAAATAAATAAAAAATATATGATCATACGATTGCCAATGCCGAATACAAGAAACTCTGAATCTACGACAATTTTGCATTCTATAAGCTTCAACTAATTTGGTTTTTAGGTGTAATGCGTACAATTTCTAAGGAATAAAAGGTTCATTGGGAGCTTATTTTCCTAAATGACTAACAGAAATATCAAAGAACAGAAAATTGAAGTTCGATGGTCATGTACAGTGGATCCAATAATATGAATAATAACTATCAACATGAGACAAATCCTAAGTAAATCTACCGTTTAGATAGCAATATAGCGTCCATACCTAGTCAATCAACGACTTTGGATCGTCTCGTCTGACCAGTCTATTCCATATATTCCTACAAAATTTTTTATACATGGTTCACTCTATAATTTTGAAGCGAGCAAGAACAAAGATTCTAACAGGATAGCATGAGTTCATTTTATTTCGTTAGTTCTAGTCAGCTGCTTACAACATGTAATATTTAAAAACTGTAGATTCAAAGTGGATTTAAATTACTTACATGATAGTGTTCAAGTTAGAAGTTATGCTTAGGATACATTAGTACTGTATAGCAAGGGTGTAAATAAATTTAATAGACCGAATACCGTAAATGTATACCTTATGTAATAGAAAAATTCTGCAACATTGACTGTGACAACAGTCCGAACGCCCAGAAACAAGTGATTACATAATGAGTAAACGTTGATTGAAATAAAATGAGTAGAGCTCAGTTCAGTCAGCTACAACGTAGGACCAGGCACATATATGCATCGGACCAAGTTGCCATACCTCACTCATTAGCACAACAAGATGAACACCAAATTAATAGAAGTAGTTTATTTAGTGGTGGCAATATATAAAAGAAAGGTTGTATATAAGGATGTAATAAAGGAAGAAAGAAAGGTTTAAGTGAAGATAAAGAGTGTATACACCTGCGCGATTGTGATCGATTCTGAGACATCTCACACAGTCTCCAACCATTGGTTACGATTGTCACGTGGACCCCAACCAAGTAGTCTTCATCTGCCAACATGGCTCAGACTAGAAATCAGTGACTTCAAACACTGATGCCACGTTTTAGTTTCGCCGCCCTTAACTTTCTCCTGACCATCGCCAATACTAGTCAGCATAGCGCGTCGTGATAATCGGTGTTCAGGCACACGTAAATCGTGGCCCAACCATCTCAGTCGATGAAGATTCATCACCTCATCAACTGATTTACCATCATTCCCTAATACCCTGTGTCTAACCTCGCTATTACTTACCCAGTTATCCCAGCAGATGCGAGCAGTATTTCTAAGACATCTGTGTTCAAATACTAGTAACTTACGAGTATCTTCTACTCTTAATGGCCACGTTTCACAGCCGTAAAGTAGAACAGAACGAACTGCTGCTCAGTATACTCGTCCCTTATTTGATAAACGGATATCTCGTCTTCGCCATAGGTGACGTAAGTTGGCAAAAGCCAAACGAGTTTTCTGAATCCGTGCTGAGATTTCGTCAGACACCAACCCATTACGGCTGATCAGACTTCCAAGATAAGTGAAGTTGTCGACGCGTTAAACGCCGATAAGCATGCCTGTTTTCTCTCCCTATCCTTAGTTCAGAGAGCTCAGTTAATAAAATAAGATTATTAATCTGGAAGATAGCTGAAATAAAACCCAATGATGCAAGAAATGGTTAGAAGAAAAAAGAAAAATTTAGATGCAGTAAAGGAATGTTTGTCATCAAGGCAAGGAAAGATTAGTAACCGTCTCCTTTTGCACACATAAGTCAGGTTCTTGACGCCTGATAGCAACGGCTTCAGAAGACTCGATTTTGGTTGTTTACTAATCACCTTAAAACCCCCAAATGCCTTGGTACGGCCGAGATTGGGGAGAGTCCGCTCTCTCTCTCGAAATGCTCTCACATGGCCACGCGTATATAGTCTCTACCAGGGAAGTCCTACTCATTGCCTTCTCGTGGCATTTCTGTTGTTTACGAAATTTAGAGGATGAAAAGCGAATGTCCGGCATTTCAACCGAGTTGGTGGACACGGAAAGTCCACCTAGGAGAGTTGGAAAACCCTCATTCCAAACCAATGGTGTACATGGGCTCCAGTATCCTGAGGGAACAAATGGCGTACGAATCAACCGTTGATCACCGGCTACCATGGGACTGCATCTCCTCACGATGCTCCACTGCCTTGTGGATCAGACATTCAGGTCAAAGGCTACGGGTGTGGCCCCCCAAGAAAACCACCTGCTTCAGTCTGGGCACCTGAGCAGTATCACAGCCCTCACACAAATCCAATGAGATTTGTGAGGCGCATATTTATCTGGTGCTTCCTTGTACCAATATTTATGTGTTTAAATAAATAAATAAATAATCACCTTAAAAGATTGCAAAGTATCGACCTGATGTCCTGTATTAAAGAGATGTTTGGTAATATCACTGTTCAGAGTCTCTTTTTTCCTGTTTTTGAGGCTTTCAGGAGCATGTTCAAAATATCTAAGATATGTCGCCCTTTCTGTTCGACCAGTATAGCTGCTTTTGCAGGTACACGCAAATTTACACAGATGGCAGCAACATGAAAGGGTGGCTTGTCAACTTTTGATTGAGTTACTGAACATGTTGTTTAATACATAATTAAAAGTTTGTCTGCCGGATACGTTCTAGATAGAGCAGTGTTCAGTATTCTGCTGGTTGTGTTACTAGCATTATCACATTGGGAGTTAGGATTTATAGATAAAGGTTTCTTATTGACCGTAATTACTTTTCAACTATGAAAATTACTTTTGTCTTTTCTTTAGGTTTTATATATTTGTCAATAAATTTCTGTGGGCAGCAAATGTCTCTTAGGCATTTTTTCAACGTTCATCAATTTTTATTTCAGTTAGTTGGTGGTACATACCCAGCAGCTTAAATTTTACCTCAAACAGGCATACACAATAAACACCACAGTGGGACATAACTGGACTGTTTAAAATCATCGACAATAATGACTAGTTGTCAAGTCTCGAAAAGCTTGCCACAACTTGCAGAAATTTATTACCTTACTA